AGATTTCAAAACCGAAGACTCACTCTTTACTATCCCTTCAGAAGTGTCAGAATGTCAGTACTGTGCAAAAGAGAGCGGCTGGACAGCAGCATGGTCCTGTGTGGTCCACAAGTCTGCACATCACTCAAACCCTTTAGCTCGTTTTCACATCTGGCCTTTGTGAAAAAGTCACATGTTTAAGAGTAGACAAAACTCTAAGGACTCTTTTAGTCTGTCCAAACCAAGGACTAATGAGCTAAAAAATACTTTTGTTTACAATTCCATTTCTCTCTGGAAAATACGGCCTTCAGAACATGATGCTTCTTTTAAAAGATTATAAATTACTGCTGAAACAGAAATAAAGTCTAAAATGAAATAATGATCCTCTGTGTCATTTTATATGCCCCTCTGCCAATAAACTACTTTCACAGTGTCATCCAGCCAACCTCAGCTCCACCAGCATAGTCATGCTAAATTGCTGTATAGCTCAGAACGTTTGAAATCCAGTCATCCACTTTTTTTGTATACACTGACTTTTTGTTTGATTGTGTCACAAAATTCCATTTATGGCGCTGCCCAGAACAGCCTGAATCCAGTCCAAAATGTTTAACAATCAGGTTGTCAGCCTGGTGAATGAACATGGCCCTCTTAGCTGTCTTTGAACCACAATAAGCCAAAGAAAATAAGAAAAAAAAACTCTTACTGACCTCTTACTAAAAAGTTTGGACACCCCTGACCTAAAGTGTGCACATGTTTGCCCTTAGATCAATTGCCTGAGTCTGCTGTCACATTATCCATCAAATATCAAATGTCGGCTCGCTCGGCTCGCACCCCGGAGTTCAGGCCATCTGGAACCCCCATTTACCGATCATTAACTACCCTGATCCACACTCACTTGCGTCATGTTCAGTTTAAAATTACAACTGACTTTATTGAATCAATGCTCATATATATAATTGTAGGCTTTATGTACGAAAGCAAAGTGAAGAAAGAAGATGCTCAACTGAAAACAAACTTCAATTCACTTTGCTTTATTGACTGATTTCACAGGGGGAGCAGATATTATTGAGGGCTGTACCTTTTGTATGCCGGCTAATTGTGGTTCAAAGACAGCTAATGCATGATAGATGGAGGAGGAGAGCTTCTCAGCGGTGGATTTCTCTGCTGGCATGAGATCACACACATTAATAGATCGGCACCTTCCACTTCAGCCCCAAAGACATCAGTTGCCATCACCAGATTTCTTTTGCCTTATTATGACCCACTGCACACACCCATGTTTTCCTGGCATGACAACTTAAAGCAATGTATGGGTTTTGTGGCTGACTCAAACCGTCAACGTGGAAGCCTACCTGTTTGGAGGTGAAAAATAGGTGCACCACACTGAGCAGCAGATGGCCCAGGCCTGTCATCGATCCGAGCGGACGCAGTGTGATTGATGGATCTCACGGAGGAGAGAACATCGAGAAGAGATTAGCTCATTATGAACTGACTGGACGCAAGGGGTGTTAGCATGTGTAGATCAAATGAAAACACTCTATTCACTACTAATTCTCAACCTTATAGTTATTAAATGCGTGGGAGACTTTTAGACATTCTGAGATGCTTAAAATGTTGATGGCAGAAAACAAAATACAAAATTAAAGAATATATATTTGTCACCATGGTTGCAGTCATTACCACCAAGACCTTGCAAAGAGCATCTGAAACTTGAATGATGTATATTTGTTGTTTACATGCATTGAGGAGCCTATGATTAGGCCATTTCCAAACAGACAAAAGGGGAAACATTGTTATGCCGATGAAGGCATAATTGCATGGTTGGTAAGTTGCAAACACATGTCTAATTTTCTGCATTTCTGTATATTCAGAAACACTCAAATCCCCACAGCCTAAGTGGCTAAGAGAGCTAAGAGAGCTGAGCGGGCTGAAGAACACAATGTTTGCAGAAATGTTAAAACCGCTGAGAAGTGGCATCGCATGGTGACAAGTCTGCCAGGGAAAGTAAACCACCTCATGTTAAATTCTGAATATAAACAGTATGAAAACCCGCAAATTTTCTCCAAAGTAAAAGATGAAGGCGTGTTTTTATGAGTGAGGCATCGCTCTGTGACATGCGACCACCAGTGTGCAGCATGAATAATCCATGGTGCAGCGGGCAGAGGCGTAAACAGAGGCACATCTTCACCTCAGAGGCCTGTCAGACACACAGTTAACAAAGACTACCTCCTCATCATCATGCGGCCCATATACAGCAGAAGATCCACATTCAAACCTGACATTGTTCCCCACCACCGCCCCTCCTCTCCGCTCTGCAAGCGCTCTCCTTCAGAGACTTTAAGCAGTGTAGTTTCGCAGCTAATCTGTCCCTGGAGATCAGGTTCCTCGCCTCAGCCTGTATTTAAGAATTGTCTTTGTAAATTAAACTAAGCGTAGCATTGGGATTAGCAGGCTGTTCTACCACTATACAAGGAAACTGTTCGTGCTTCTGTGATTTCACTCATTACGCATTGAGACCGACTGTTATAGCACTGGGGATTTACACATGTAGGATGTCCACTGACGAACAAGACACACAAGTCCTTTCAGAATATAGTTTTATTATAATTTATTATCGGCAGATACAAAAACTCTTGAACTGTATCCAAAATGTGCAATCAATCACTGCTAATTTTTTCCAAAAAAAATTTTTTTTTAAATGACTTTGGAAAGTTGAAATCTAACAACCAACATAATCAGAGTATTCAACGAGAGCCATCTAATCAAAATGTTCTGACTGAACTTCAATAGCAAAACTGCTTTTACTCTCAACATTATCACAACCAAAGTCATAACATTACATACATCTGATCTAAAGTGTGACATTCCATCCTCCCAATGTGTAATACAGGAAAGGCAATCATATCTATTTAAGCAGCACAAATGTGTAGAACACATAACCAGGAAATAAGGTCTTCAAAAATGTACCAATGTTCATGTTGAATTAGGGTAAACAAAGGGACAGAGAATTGGACATGTTTAACAAACTGTTGTTTTGTAAACCATTGCCTAAAATAATTTAATGCAGATAAGCTTGTTCATTCACAACCTTGAACAGTCACATGTAGAATCATACATTTCGGAGAAACACAAGACACTAAAAGGAAAAGAACAGCAGCAACGCCAAATTAAACTGCTTGTCAAAATGTAATGACAACTAAATGAAATTCTAAGTAGAAAAGAACATTGTATTGAAAAAGACACCTGACTTTCACATTTCAAAAACACACTCAAAAGGAGTCAAATGTAACCCACATTCTTCCATAATAGCGCCAAAGTATTGATAGAGGCATTGATATGATGCTGGTGCCTTACCCTTTGTATCCCATAAGATAACAATTACAACACTTAAACAGTTACAGGAACAAATAAGGACAAATGTGAACCAGAATTTGTTAAAAGTAAATATACCATCTGAAGGACAGCTTCTGGCAGAAGAGGATCCAAGCACGTCAGAGGAGAAATATTCAAGTGCAAAATGTGTCAATGTCAGTCTGTGTGATTTTCATGCTTTCTGAAATGGTCTACAGGCAGATAAAGTGGATCCCTCACACAGGCGTACATTCCTTTTGTACAACCCGTCCCCCCAGATGGCAAGTGTCAAAAATAATCCACAAAATAATTTCAAAATAAAAACACTTCTGGTACATAGAATGTCCAGCCATTGCTTGTGACAAAATAAAACCTCTTTCTACACAGCCGAACACACAACCAAGATCCTTCATTCCTATACAACAAGGCTTTTTAGATTTGTAAGTCTTTAAACATGCAACACCATTCGACGTTCCTATCTAATTACTGCTGTGCTAGGTGCGAGAAACTTCCTCAGACATAAAAATATCCAGCTAAAAACTACAACTAATATCCTACTGACGTGATCATAGAGACCAATTTCCAAATACTTTTAAGGACACTGTTGTTATAAGATGCTCATTCATAATGTAAAAAGACAATTCCCTGTCATATTATCCATATAAAGCACTTGCGTAGCATACTGTGTGCTCATCCCTTTGCTCTGGCGCTGATGGCAAAGTAGAGATGGTGTGAGGGTCGTGCAGCTCTGTGGCCTTAGATATCTAGAATGTCCGTGGCACTAATGTCAACAACTGAGCACTGACGGAGACATTGTCTGCTCCCACTGTGACCCAGCCCAGAAGACTATTGACGAACAGAAGTCTAGCCCTGCTTTGACTTGGGGACAGTCTAACACTGGTATTCACAGATTAACACAGCCATCCTTATAGAACTGACTAGGACTAAACACATGTTTATTTGATACATGGAATAATTGAGGACTAATTGTCACCTTCCCAAATGAGATTTGTACTTTTCTTTAACTTACGCGAGACACCGCCAAGCTGTACTACATGCAAGGGGCATTATAAGTCAGTTGAGCCCGAGTGACTTAGTCCACCTTTGAGCATTCATAATCCTAATACATCACCTAGGTGCTGTTAAGCTTAAGAGCATAACATGAACATATCAGATTCAGCATAGTTAGTACCTTCATGTCTAATTTAATAAAGAAGTCACTTGATTAAGGCATAATTACGACAAGCTAAATATACATATGTACTAAGTATGTGTGGTTCAAGATTAATATCTAGATGTAAATCTGCAATTGTCTGTGTACCATTATTTAAACAGATTGTTAACTACCAGTAACTTTTAACAATACTTTCAGACCCAACCTAGAGTACTGGGGTTTTTTTGCGTTTATTTGAGAATATTTTTTATTTTTTCTTCTGCAACACTTCAGTCTACTTCTTCATGAACTGGAATATACAACCAATTAATCTATCATGAGCAGTCTGACATTATAGCATTTTAAGATAGCCCAATTAGAATCAATAGTTTGATTATGGAGGCAAAATCAGATATCCAGACCATAGTCATCTAAGATGATGGCATCTGTGAACCTAGTTACATGACTGTACCACACACTAGTGCAAACTGCTCCGACACTGTCCTGTATGAGGTCCTCAGTAGTGTTTCTCCTGCAGATAGTCTTTCATCTTGTTGGGCAAAGGGAGCTTTTGAATCAGATCTATCCTTGTATATTGTCTTATGACAAAGCGACAGAGGTACTGTAGGGAGCGGACTTGCATAAATCGAGAGACTGGATTGGTTAGTCTAACAGGGTAAGTAGCAGACCCCGGTAAGCGAGATCTAGAGTAGCAGAAAGCTCCATTCTCAGAATCTCTGATTGAATGTTCAATTAAGTCAACTATAGAGGTGTGCCCCTCGACATCCGGCTGCTCGTAGAAGCTGAAGCGTCCATTAGAGTGTTCAATGCGTGTGTGAAGTGTCTTTCCCTGGGACCTAAAACTGAGGCTGAGCAGGTACCGGTCATCGGAGCTGTCCCGGACCAGAAAAGAACCATCAGCCAAGTTCACCAGCTTCTCCTCAGCCTCCCATCGAGTTATCGGACCCCAGTACCAGCCCTGTCTGGCCAGCTTTTTAAGCTCCTTCGTTAAACTGGTCACCACCATTGGACCACTGCTCTGAACTGAATCATACACCCGCCCCACCCCAGGGGCTGAATTTGGATCAAAGTTCAAGTGATGCCTTACTCTCTCTGCAACTTGGCTGTCTGCTGAGGCTAAGCCTGAAAAAGTCCTTGGGAGAAGTCCATGGCTAGTCATGGGTGAGATGGAAGGCTGGACATCAACTCTAGAACTTCTCAACACCATACTAGAAGAACTAATTAGCAGTCCGTTTACAGAAGTGTCCATGAAGAGGTCTGCGGACATTCCTCTCATTAGTTCATGATCCTCCTGTCCCTGATCTGGGTGCAGAGAGCCACTGTCCGCCTCTGTGACCACCTCCATAGGAGAGGAGCTGTCAAGACAGAAGGAGTGGGACCCCTCAGGGTACATTCCCTCATCTAAAGGCATCGTGTACTGGATGTAGTCCTGGGGCGTTAACCCCAGCACCACAGGCACATCATTTTCATCGATGTTTAGATGCAGCTCACCATTTTGAGGCTGTTGGATATTCTTTAAGGATTCTGCTTGGTCTTGAAAAAGCCCTTCCATTTGGAAATCATGAAACTCCTTTCGAACACCGTTTAAATTTGGACTTGGATTGGGGGAATGAACCATGGCTTTCACTTTGACTTCCATTTTAATGCAGGCCTCATCTGAATTAACAGAGCGCAAAGGCCAAGGCGAAGGGCTATAATGGTGACTACGTAAAGACGAAGATCGAAGTGGTCTCTGGGATTTCACCTCATTAAAGCTGATCGGCACAGATGATGATGAAAATGTATCTTCATCATCTAATGAGCCATTGGCTGAAGAACCACTTTTTGCTTTTGCCTTTTGCTTTGTGGATAGTCTTCTTTTTAGTGATCCCATAAGGCTCTCACCTTTAGCCCTGTTTTTACTCTGTCCTGACTTCTCCTCTTCACCACCGAGCTCAGTGCCCGAAAGGTCTTTGGTGTAACAACTTCCAAAAAGTGACTCCTCTTTGGAAAACTCTGCGTTCACCGGAGGCTGCTGAAGCATGACAAAGTCCCCCTCTTCTTTGCCCTTTATACTGAGGGACTTCCGGATAGTCTTAAGGCTGATCTTCTTCATTCTGGCAAGCCCACCACGCTGGGGGCATGCAGCTCCTCCCTGGGTCTTCCGATGAATGCACTATCCACGGTGTTCCCCCATCAGGCCACATGAGACGGATCATGCATACAGTGTAGTCAGAAAACCTGGGCAAAAATAACAAAAAAGTTAAGGTGATTATATTGTATAGTTTGTATTACATACATTCAGAGCTGTCAATGATCAATCAAACTCAATGCCCACCAAAATATTTGAAAGGTCAATAACATGCTGCTACACACACTGAACACCATAGCTCTTTGATGGCTTTAAAACAGCTTGAGGATGTGTGAGAAGAGCAAAGGAACTGCCAATAATTAAAAGCCAATTGAGTTTACTTAAAGACAGCAGTTTTATCTAATGATTTTCCTCTAAAGTAAGACGAAGAGGGGAGAGGAGGCAGAGCTTTCTCCTCCTCCGCTGCAGCTCTGGGGTGTCATTTATAAAGCTCATGTAGGCACAAAACAGAGCCAAAAGTGATTATTGTTCAGTGAGTCTACAGCTTCATATTCAAAGCCACTCCAAGCGTCTTTGCTTTACTTTTATGAACCAGGTAACACCAATGCAACATTAGCACCGGACTGCTTTTCATAAAAGTGATCAGAGAAAATGCATGTCACTTAGGCTTTAGGATTGTCCCCTCCTTTTTACCACTTTTGTATGTTTATGCATGCATGACCCACTGCACTCTTTTCCTTCTCCTTTCTACTCAATTCAAAACCTTTTAGTGACATAACTGGAAATGTATTTCTACAGCTTTCTTTTGGAAAATGTGATGTCTAAATAGAAGTGATCCATAACAACATTGATGACACATCAGCAGTGATGGGAATAACGGCGTTACTAGTAACGGCGTTACTAACGCCGTTACTTTTTTCAGTAACGAGTAATCTAACTAATTACTTTGACAGTAACTATAACGCCGTTATCATTTCCGACATCCCGTTACTGCGCGTTACTCAAGACGCACAATGAACGTGTTGTCATGAGAGAAGGGAGGATGAGAAAACCTCTCAGCAATTATTGGCTGATGTAAATCATATTTCCTTTACAATCTACATGTCTACAGTTGAGAGGATGGTCATAAATTGTGTTTTTGAAACAAATATGGGTCTTAATCGCGCTCAACCACGGCTTGTATCACCGTGAGGTCAGCCACAGAGGAGCGCATGTGAGCGCAGAAGTCGGCTGCATACAATTCCATCGATAAGCTCCTTGCTCTTCCTGGTTTATCTGCTAAGGACAGCAACAGGTTTGGCTAACATACATATAACACATTTTTACATAATCTAAAATGCACATAGGGTAATTTTTCAATTACTATAGGAATGATAAGAAAGAGAGGTGAAGTGTAAGACGGTTGATTTTAGAAATTGGATGCAGCCGGCTGCAGCAAAACAGAGGAGTTTACGGAGGACACACGCGTTTTGTTTTACTTTTTAAAACTCATTGGACTCATTTCCAAATGGAGGATTACATATCTACGCTCAAACCATTCACTGGATTTAAACAAGGAACTGGTCTGAACCGAAGTGGACTGTGCAGGTCATTTATAAGGTATGACCCATAACTCATAGTTTTGCGTTTTGTATGAACAAACAATGCGGGCATAAAACATATTTTGCTGTAGCCAAACAAATTGTCCACTTGATTTATATGATGTATATGTTCATCTGATTGGACTGAAGTCAGTGCTTCACCGGTGTTTCCACATTCACAGTGGAGCGTGTTGTGTTTAGTGCTTACAGCACAGTGAGAGATGAAGAGTGAACAGGACTTCAGCAGCAAAACAGCCTTTTCTAGATGGAAATATTGGCACTATTAAAGGTAAAAATGCGCACGTCGGGTGCACATTATGTTCCAGAACAAAACGAAAAAGTAACGCAATAGTTACTTTTACTGGTAACTAGTTACTTTTATAGTGGAGTAACTCCGTTAGTAACTCAGTTACTTTTTGGGAGAAGTAACTAGTAACTATAACTAATTACTTTTTCAAAGTAACGTGCCCAACACTGCACATCAGACACCTAATAGTTTTAAATCACCGGGCAGGTTACAGAGGAGTGGGGGGGTGAGGGGGGGGGGGGGGGTGTGGGGGGGTGAGGGGGGGTGGGGGGTGGGGGGGGGGTGGGGGGGGGGGGGGGGGGGGGGGGGTAATGCGAGCAAATGCAAAAGTAATGCTGATAATGTTTCATCTTAGTATTTGAATGCTATTATTGATTACTAATGTGAAATAAAAAGGATCCTAACATGCACTTAGATCAGATTGCTTTCAATATTTGGGGAACCTAAATAAGATGTGTAACATCCAAATCCTGAACCCTGCTAAAGGGAAGCAGACCTGCAATCTGATTACTCACCATTATGACCAGGAAAATGGTGACTCAATTGATAAGTCAAGTTCCTCTTCTCCGTTCATTTGATTCTATGAACAAAATAACATTCAAAAACTATAATCGGATAGTTGTATGCATAATCGCCACGAAAGCCTTGATTGCATCCATATGTGGGATTCTTAAATAACCTTAGCCAGGTTTGACTAGCTTAACCAGGCGAGGCCTACACATACATGTCCAAAACCTTCTACTGTGCTGCACCAGTACATTATAACACATCACAATTCCTGCCAAAATAATATCCAACATTGAAATGAAGTAAGGCACCTGTAATGTACATAGTTTATAACATATGATATGAAGTGTGTCTGGTGCCCTGTTTGCAAACACTGTTAAGCTAACATTAGCCACTGTCAAATAGTTTATCTGAATGACATCGAGAAATATGCTGTTAGCGTCATATATCTGATACATATTGGTAACTGGGCAGGGCATTTACAAATCTACTCTAAACACTGGGGATTTGATTCTATCTTTTCTGAATGTGAAGCTGATGCTAACTCGACAATGCTACCTGTACCTCCGGCTAGCAGTGCTAACATTAGCTATCGGAAACTTCCAACGTTACCTTTTATTCTGGACACTGTCTGAGCGGCAGATTGACGATCGAGTAATTATTTAGGCCGGGTTGACACTTCCTTCAGCCTGAGGGAGATCATTGACGCTTCAATTGGTGTAAAAGTGACATCTTTTCAGGCTTGTTGGCTAACACTGTGTAGCCCACGGCCTCTTCCTTTTTTCCTTTGTTGCCTGTTGAATTCTGGGAGCGGACACAGACGTATCACATCAAGCACCACCTCCATCCCCATCACTTCTCCACATGCCAAGATATGATGCCAAGGCAATGGTAAACATCCATGATCACCACCCATGCCATGCACCAACACGTAAGAAATAAAAGATTAAAAAGTTTAGTTATTATGAAAAAGTTGAAATATGAATCAGGGAAATAGCAATGTAGCCTGAATTTGGAACATAATACAATCACACTGCATATGTGTTTATGTGTATTGTTTTATGCATATAAGTGCAATCTTTATTATTATTATTATTATTGTCTTATGCAAAGGTTTTATTCATTCATAGAATATCTGGTTGTTTATACAGAATCTCCCTTGAGAGAGAAGTAAGTTATAAGTTGGTTTATATGATCAACACTATTTCAACCTTACATACTCTAAACTCTATAAACCATGAGGTATCTCTAATTAGTAATCCACAAATGACAAGCTGATGATTCTTTAATAGTGGCTTAAACTTAAACTTCTAAATCATACATGGTTTTTCTAATTAGTGTCAGCATTGTTTTAAAGTGCTGCTGTGTTTACCACTGTTGGATAATTTGAACCACTGGCACAGCATACACTCAGAATGACTTGTTTTTTTCCACCCTGTCAAGTGTATGGCAGTTGTTCCCTAACCTTCGCAGGGTGCTGTGTGCAGACAGGCCCTATGCAACTCTAATTACCAGGGCCTATTAGGGTTGATCAGACTGCACTGGCACAACATGGGGAGGGCAGGAGACAGGGCTTGGCAGCACTTAAAACTACCAGCAAGGATACTGATACGATGCTTGCAATGTTTGTACACATTAATTAGATCTGACAAACAAACTTTTGCCTCCTTGATATTTCTGTCATAACATATAAAACCAAGTACATACTTTGTGGGTTTCTTAATGGGATGTGTTTTATTAACTGTTAGGAAATACTGATTTTTTTGGCAGCTTGTGCAAGTTTTCTGACACTGCAGAGACGTGCTTGCTGGCTCAAGATCAATATAGATAATTATTTGAATATATGTATAAGCACAAGTCAAAACATTGCATCACCACGACATGTCAACAGTAGACATGGATCTTTATGCTTAACGAGACACCTCTGCGCATGGGAAGACTTCATGTTTCATCTTAATTTCAAATGAATGCTGCATCAGCCATAAATTATGTGCACAACAACATGTCGGCCCGGGCTTCAGTCCTTTGACTCACCCAGGTGGGATTGTGGGGCCCCTCTGTGCCTACCCTCATATCCTTAACACTCGCAGTGGAGCGGAAGACGGGTACAGCAGCCGTGTCAAACAGTGACAGGGCCGCAGGGACCAGTTGGGATTGTTGCAGGCAGAACATGGATATTCCTCAAAATGCAGTGAGAATCCGCAACATTTTAGTAATAGTTTTCTCCTCCTCAATTTCAATTTCAGGGAGGCCTTCTGTTATAACCATCATAGCCAATGTTGGGCAAGTTACAGAGATTGATATTCTACATTAGTGGGCGACAAATGTTGAACAGGGGACAGTACTTAGACCAGAGCTGCATGGAGCTCCAGCGGCTACAAAGAATCCAACACTGGCCCATCCTCTGGACAGAAGAGATCTGGTTTAGTTTGTCAGATAATAGGTTTGTAAATGTTCAATCATAATTATGTGGTTGAAAAGTTACAACCTGAAAAAATCTCTACACATTTTAGCAGATGATTTTGAGAAACATGTACAGTAGTTCAGGAACTGATTTCCTAAATCGGTTTTGGAGCTAATGTATGCATGTTCTCTTCGTGCACCATACAACAATCGGGTGAAATAGGACTAGGGACAAATGTTTGGTTTTATCCAGAGTCCAAACCCCAGAGGAGGAACAACTTGAAAGTACTACAACATGATGAGATGATCACAAACTATGCAAGACAGAGACTGCGACCGAGAAAGAGACCGACGAGACACACATTTCGAGGAAAAAAATTGTCTTTCTTGACTTGTGTAATAGCTCCTCTTGAGGCTTCAACAAAATGAAAATTGAAGCAGCAGGAGGTATCAAACACAACACACTCCCAACGCTTCAGGATGGGTCAAATGCACAGGAGACATTCAAATATAATGTGTCAAGTGCGTCTAAACCTTCCAAAGCCATGGAGTCATTTTTGGGCATTCACTACTTTGTTTTGTGTTTGTAAAAACCTTGTGCTTTGCAAAATAATGAATCACAGAAATTACCAGTATTGTCGCATTGAGATTGATTACATTTAAGAACACTCTTTTTGCACTGTATGTTCACTTTTTCTCTCTCCACTGAAGTTAATTCTCTGTATATGTTCACTCACTCAACATCAAATGAACCTGCTAGCATACATTCTGATACAAAAGCAGCAGAGGACAGCAGCAGGTGCCTGGCCATAGAAAGCCTCTCCTTTTTTGTCCCTAATCTACAATTCTTTGGATAAATATTAAATACTCGAGAGACCAGAGAGACCAGAGAGACCAGAGAGAGACCAGAGAGAGACCAGAGAGAGAGACCAGAGAGAGACCAGAGAGAGACCAGAGAGAGACCAGAGAGAGACCAGAGAGAGACCAGAGAGAGACACGAGAGAGACCAGAGAGACCAGAGAGACCAGAGAGAGACCAGAGAGAGACCAGAGAGAGAGACCAGAGAGAGACCAGAGAGAGAGACCAGAGAGAGACCAGAGAGAGACCAGAGAGAGACCAGAGAGAGACCAGAGAGAGACCAGAGAGAGAGACCAGAGAGAGACCAGAGAGAGACACGAGAGAGACCAGAGAGGCCAGAGAGACCAGAGAGAGACCAGAAAGAGAGACCAGAGAGAGACCAGAGATAGACAGTGGTCAATGGAACAACAGGATTATCTTTGCACTTGAGAATTAATCCAGAAATCCAGGATTGTGAAAGAAGCATCCAGTAAAATCAATTAAAGTCTGTGCCATTTGTATAATCATTATTTTATATGTAATACAAAATGTAGTATATTTGGATGAAAATGTAGTATTATAACTTTTTCTTCTTTTTTTGTAATCCAGGACCAATTATTTATTTTTGATGCAAAATGGACCAAACACTACAGCACTTTCCTGTTCATGTTTTTCTCCTTTTTTTATTTTTATCAATTCAAACATATTTGTGTAGCACTGAATCTAACAGCAAATATCCCTTGGGACAATAAAGTTGATTTTTTCTTATTAGATCATGAAAATGGAGATGAGTTTAATGCATTCCAAATGTAATTGAGTTGTACTTTGAGTTACTTTGGGTTATGTTTACTCTACAACTCTAACACGTTACTCTGTTACAATGCACTTTATGAAGTTTTTTTTTTTTGTCTCAGGATGTAGAAAGCAAACCTTGATTGTACATTTTAGGTACTTGAGTTACTTTGAGTTACTTTGATTGCAATTTTGTCATTTGCATTATAATGAGTTACTACTGAGTCAATTTCTCAAATGATAATGAATAAATAATAAAGTTAGAATAACTATGATGTAAGAAGTTCAAAGGTTTTATTATACTCTAAACAGGCTGTCTCTCACATTCTCTCCCCGTGAATGTTACGGTTTCCCATGCGCCATGAACGCCTCGCGGGGCCATCAGGAAGTAGAGTGACGTTGGCGCGTACGTTAAAAACAGTTGTTGACAAGTCTGTAGAGCGTCTCTAGCTACAGACTCAGCTGAAAACACTCTCAACATGGAGTTATCAACTCTTATAAAGAAAATCGGTAGGCTGGCTCTTTTACTTTTATTAACTTGTGAAAGGTCTCTGATTGTCGTGTCTTTGATAAGTTTCTCCTGAGTGCTCTCATGATAATTACAGTTATGCTAGCCGCTATTGCCTTAACGCTACTTAATCATATGCAGTTAACGTTTCTTATGGATACTATTTACTTTAGTGGATTTACTACGTGATCTTGAGAAGTAACATGTGACATCTGCGTAAAGAACTATATGGATATTGTTGTTACTCTGTTATAACTGATGCATTGTGTGCTCCAGGGCATCCCTTATTGGAAATACGACTTCGAGCTTTAAAGAACATAATTTGCAAGTTGGACCATTGTCTCATTTCTGTGGCTGACATAGTGCAGGAGAAGATGCTTTTTGTTTACCTGTTGGAGTGGTTCAGTTTCCCTGAAGTGCCAATGCAAGAAGAAGTCCTTGAATTAATAACACGATTGTCCAAGGTAAAGCACTTTCCTTTGTAATGTACTTACTTGGTTTTTAAAGTTAAGTTTTATTTTATATTTTTTTCTCCCAAAAAGCATCCTAGTGCCGCCCAGATGCTGAGAGACGTTGGGGCTGTGGACTTCCTCACCGAACTGTCTCTGAAAGTGGAGCCCAGACTGCGAGCTGTCATCGATGGAGCTCTGGACCAGCTGTTTCAACTTCCAGAGCTACTGCCTAGTCACACCATTGTGTATTCATGCAAGACAACCACTGCAACAAGTATTGGACTGAAAAGGCTGCATAGTGTGGAAATAATTGTCAAGTTTTGGTACATTTGACTTCCTTTGTATTTTACAGCCCCCAATGTGCCTGAAACGGACGCTTTATCCCACTCTGGCTACTTCCACAAAAGAGCACAGATTCAGAGTGATACACTGTCTCACAAGATAAGAAGTACTGTGCTTTATTCTTATATGTAAAACAAGTAATACTGTCATCCCAAACTTATGTATATTTTTGACCATAGAGCGGGAAGTTGTGAAATGTTTGAAATTTTCAGTGTTTCCATGGCTCTCGTTGACAAACACAGATCGACATATATTTTCATCAAATGAAAGGTAATAGTCAATTTGTGTTTTGTTAATCTTCTGACAGAACAAAAAAGAAACACACTGTATTTCTGAAACAGTTCATTAAGAAGCAATAACCCCAACTTAGTCCGGACAACATGTGAACTCCTGCAAGATGTCATTATGCAAGATTTTCCATCAGAGGTCTTTTTGCAGCGCCCTGGAATTGTGAAGGTACCACTACTGAAAATCATATTAAAGGCACCAGGATGGGGACATTTTTTTAAAAGTATAGTCAAATTTACTAGATACTTATCTAGTATCTATCTAATAGTTGAATACAGGAATACCTCAAACCAAAATGAAAAAAATATTAACAAAAAACAGTTAATATAGTAAAGTTTCAAACAAACAAAGAAAATGTGTATGAATTACTGACCCTGTGATTAGCTTTTTTTTTTTTTTTTTTTTCAGATTTTGCTGGGCCTTTTGTGCCTCGGTTCAGGTAAAGAAGATAAAAACTACCTCTTCTTCCATGCTCTGTCCTGTCTACGGCAGCTCTGTGTGGGCCTTCGGAGGAGACTGCGCCGTCATCAGGACCCAAGCTTTTACTCTTCTAAACGAGGTCAACACAATGTACAAACGAATGCTGTTTTTAATTATTTATGTATTTTACAAAATGTGTTTTAATACATCAGATCCAGTGTCCGAAAACTCCTCCTTTTCCAATGAGGTGCGGGGGAGCCCGCACTCACAGGCCTCGTCCCCAGCTGCTGACCAATCTCCCAGGCCCTCTGTGGTGGGACGTCCTGGGCAGAGAGCAAGAGGAGATGGTCAAGACAGAGATGCAACTTCTAGCAAGTAAAAACATTGATTGTGTTCACCTAATTTATTCTTCTGTTTGTTTGTTTGTTTGTTTATTGTTTGTTTCCCATTAGCGGGAATTATTCTCATCTCTCTTATAATTGAAATTACAAAAATGTAGCTCTTGATTATTGCTATTACACTGAATCTATATCTGGGCTCATTGGATTCATCTTTACATTTGGCATCCTGATGTATCCTGCTATTAACTCTAGGCCTTTAGACCAAAACACTGGAGCTTATCAAAGGTTGGAAATAAGTGTCAATTTTGAACAATACACAGCATCGTAGAGCTTTGTCAGCCGTCGTGACTCAACAGCTAATTTGATTACTATCTGTGTAGAGTGATATCATTTCCATACAAATGCAGCCACTAGAGTGAGAAAGATAAGACATAATTTATAGTAAACCAATAGTGTGGATCCCAATTTTGACATAATCATTTATAATGTTATACTTTTGTTGTCATTGTTTAAATACTTTATGGAATCACTACTGGAGCACTGACACAAGATAGCTTTCCACATTGTGGGGCAAAAGAACAGTATATTTCAACACAGTGATAGCTGTAGCTGATGGATGGATGGATGGACAATTGATTTAATTTATTCATAGTTATTGTAAAATATGTATTTTACTGTATTTGTTGCAGTGGCAGTTCTCACAGAGGTGCAGCGGCTGCCCGGGCTCCTCGGCTCACGTCCCAGTCGCCAGTAGCCCATTTGGAGTTGCCTGATCTTTGCGTTGAAGATAGCCTGGAGCTGCAGTTCCAACAGCTCACACTTGCACAGTTCATTGTGGCCACCATACAGCACTCTGTTCCTCTGCTAAAAACAGGCAGGCCATTTTACATTTATTCTGCAATGTTTGTCCAGATCTTGTATCAGTTGTTTGATCTTGCTGCGTGTTTCTCCTCAGAGAGTTCACATGTGTTTCACCGTGTGCTGGGGCTGCTGTCTGAAGCAGTCCTCCTGCTCGGGGACACTGTTTCGGAGCTGGTCTGGGACGATGGCAGTCTGGTGGGAATAGAGCTGGCAAGTCCAAACACAATTTATGACAGGATCTTATGTAGATGAATGGATGCACTTCACTGGAAAAAGGGATCTGGGTTGGTCACTAGACAGTTTGCCAGAGACGCACAGGCATATGGTCGACCACTGTTGGGGAGTGTAGTATGCCTGCAGTATGTCGTTTGAGCTCAACAAGAGGTAAACACGGTTACAAAAGCTTCATCATGCTTTCTACATGTATAACTGACATTCCTATCATTGAGTTCATTCAGGTTCCACTTTATATGGCGTGTAAATAAGCTGGCTATTTGTTTAAAGTCAGCAAAATCATCTATACTAAACTGTTTTCCATCTGTTATGCAAACACATTTCTTGTCCTCACCCTCTGTTTAAAGGCTATGTTCTTAAGGGATTCCTTCTCTTGTCAAGACTGCCCCAGTGGCCCTCTGCTGTTTAATACATGCCCAGAGCCGTACAGCCTGAGAACTGTTTTGTCATCTTTATGTGGAGAGCAGGCTTTGTGTGCCAGACCTCTAGGTTTTTTCCCCGAGGGATTGGTTTAACTCAGCGCGTCAGCCTGGCCTATCTAAAGAGCTTCTACTGCCCCCTGCTGGCAATTCCTTTCAATTGTTTAAAATGCTTCTCTCACAACAAAGTGGCTGAGAATAGATAGCTCCAATTTATTCATACTGTGATAGGGTGGATCTGTATCTCGTCCCAAAATAACCCTGAAATCTGATTACATTCAATTCCTAACCCGTGGAACGAACAATTTTATTCTTGGCTTGCTTCCAGTAACTGCGCGGCTGAAAGACTTGATGTGTGTGCTGGAGATATACACACATGCTTTTGCCTTGTGTTTGTGAGGTTATGGGTGCCTTTTTGTAAAACGTGTGTTTGTTTTATAGCAAGAAAAGCTGAAAGAATCCATGGAACTGCTGGGGGACATCTTGGACTACCATCTCAAATGTTCACCGGAAATAATCCATAGTTTACGGATTCATCACAAAATGGCCTATACAGGAACAGCTATATTTACCATCAAACTCCTTCAAACCATCCTGCCTCCTGAGAAGGTGTGGAGAGCATTGATCGTGTAACATTGTATATTTATTTATGAAAAGTTCTAATATATGTTCTCTATTCAGGCTTCAGAAAACCTCTCAGAAAACACTGCAACTGCCATTTTCCATCTTAGCATGGACCCATCAATAAGAAGTGTATTACCAGGCATTCAAGAGACAGCTGTAGCCATTTTGGAGCAGGTGAATTCAGATCATTTTGACTTGTACAGAACAGTGACCAGAGCAGCTCTTTGGATGGAATCAACATGCGGTTTTCTCAAAGAGGCACAGGCTGAGGTTAGAGCACATTGCTTTCCATATATTCTATTATTGTCATGTTTCTATTAAAACATCAATATTCGGGACTAATTGTATCTAATTATTTATTTCCTTTTGCATTGTGTAGGGCAATAAGAACTGGCTTGAGTTACTAGAATTGGCAAACCTATCAATAGATGGACTCCCATTTCATCAGCATCTGCCAGTCATCAAAGAATGCGTTCAATTGTGCTCTTACCTGTAATATATAATATAATGTATTATTTTTACATTTCTAATTGCAATCCTTCTTGATGGCCATGTATCCACATTGTCTGTGCTGTTAGGTGGAAGTTTGATCAGCCCAGCCCACTTCTTCAAACTGAATGCCAAAAACTACTTCTCAAGCTGCTGTCCCATCCACTCCAATCTGTCAAGACGGAGACATACGCCTGTGTTTTAAATCTGGTCAAGGTCAGAACAAGCCTTCAGATATTGCCTGGCCTGCCAGACACTCCTCCTTTCTGTTCAAAAGAAGAACCGTCTGGACACCTCTTCCTAGCCTATCATTTCACGATTTTACCCACATCGGTCCAATCACGCACCGAGAGGCGGGACTTCCTTTCACCTTTGAGTTGCTAATAACTCCTCGTATCTTTAAGTTTTTTTTACAAAATCGACAGCAGTCGTTTACATTTGCACTAGCTGACATGCCGCCATCCCTTGTTTTGTGTTTACTGAAACGGCTTGGGTGCCGCTAGTTGCTGCGTCATATCTTGTGTGCATCTAATTGGTTGATGCAGTCTGTCAACCACGCCCACCGGGAATTCGCTGAGATCAAGCTCGTTCCCAGACTATATGTCTTTGAAAAAGCATATCGTTTGGCAGGCCAGGCAACTTCAGATATAGCATGGTTCACAGCTAAAATGTTTCAAACAACTTAATGTTTCTATAAAGTGGGAATCTTTGTTACGGGACAGATGCGTAAATAAGACAGATCAAGATTAATAGCTCACACTTCTTGGACTGTGAATAATAAAAAAATCAATGTGACATTTAAAATCAGGCAGCCAATCTATTTCTCTTTCTATTATCCTTCCATTTTATCAACCACTGGTGAAGGTATATGGCTACATTTAAAGTGAATGAGGATTTAAGTATGCATGTGCAAGAGAAAGGCAAGTGATAATTTATGAGACGCTTTGGTGTGATCACATCCTAGGACTGCCTTGGCATCTACAATGCATCACGACAGGAGCCAGAAACCAGCAGCGGCGTACGCTTTCTTCTCCACTATAAAGTGTTGTATGAAATCTCTGCTTTTGGACTGCAAGACTCTGCTCAAAAGGTGGGTTGGATGGCATTCAATTTGGCTATTCATTGTTTTTATATACAAGATATTTATTAATATATATATATTGATGGATGGATGGAAACTTGCAGTTTCTACTTGTAATATATAGGTATAATTTTTATATAAGCAGCATTCTTTTCAATGTATTTTTTTTTTATTTGGTTTCCACTGTACTCTTACAGTACTTTTATTCAAGTCCTTTGTCCAACCAATTAAACTATCTACTCTACTCTACAAGGTAATTTTCCCTTTTTTCCTTGCCCATTCAACATAAACGGTAACAGATGGTATATTGGCCTGGCATCAGAGCATAGTTTGATGAACTCTGCTGCATTCTACTGACCCGACCATCACATCTTTAAGGTCACATCTTGACTCGGTCAGGGTCAAAAGAGAAGCATCCAATCAACAATAAATTGCACAATGAACATTTTGAATGTGGTCGTTTTAATGGTCACATCAAGCTCTGAAAGGGTCACATGTTTTATTTAGTATTGGACATTTTATGGTGCAACCCTTAAAGTAGCTTGTATTAAAGGTTTTATCTGCTGTACTTATGTGTTAACTCAGCACTTTACCTGTGATGTATAGGTGCACTCTGCTGCCAAGGATATTCTTCTCTTCCTGCTCAAGGGACAATTGATGATGACAGCATCACTGTGGGACAGATTGAATGAGGCACTTTACCCGATCATGCCCATATTACAGGTACCGTACCTCCTGACAATGTGGTATTGCACGTGTACCACAGTTTATAAACTGGCTTCATATTCAAAATGTATTGCATTATCTTTATGAAGTAGGCGGATGTCGCTGCAAGCGTTTTCTTTGTATCAAAACAAACTATGATCAAAACTGCAATTTTAGCATTACTGAAATACAAAGGCTGTATATTGAGCTGCCAGTGAGAAAAATGTAGTTATTTTCTCATTTACATATTTTGTGTTTTATTGGATGCTTTTGGGAGGAAACAACATGCTTTTATTAATTGTGCAGTTTCAGATAGCAGAAAGCCTGAAAATCTTTATGAATAATCATGAATGTGACTAGTCTGTCAAACACAATTCAAGGACTCCTTTTGGAGATGGGCCTGCCATGTCAACAGGAGATGAAATGAAACCACTGTAATCAAAGCACTGCATATTTTATTTACTGTTGTGCCGCTTAGCTGGATTTCCCTATCGAACCCTTCTTTGTTTGTTGGAGCGCTTTGAGATTCTTCCTGACTGTGTGTGTGTGTGTGTGTGTGTGTCAGGGTTACGCCAACACTGAGGAGTCTCTGGGAAACTGTGTCCTGCTGATAAGTGACATGTCCGACGCGGCGAGGGACAACATGTTTTCAAGCGCTGCCAAGTTAAAGGCAGCGCTCCGACTGCTCTTCACTAAACAGCCCACGTGAGTCCCATGGTCTGTCTGGCCGAGCGCTGTGAGCATTATTAGGTGTCTCCTCGTTTGATTTTATAAAGTCATTCAACAATGCGTCTCGTCAAAGTCAGTTGGACAAGTTTAGTAGTAAACAGCGAGTGTCAAAGTTTTGTGATTTATAATGTACTTTAGTTGGACACATTGCAAAGTTTGTTAGCACCAAGTGAAGCAGTGTCCTTCAAAGTACTTAAACATTGATTAATCACAACTAATCAATTATTGAACTAGTTGTCAGCTAATTTATTAATAATTTAGACTGTAGAGCTTTTATGACATGGATAATTCTTCAAATGAAAATGTTTTTACTAAGTATTTTTAATCAAACAAACCAATATGTAGCAAGTCACCTATTAAATAATTTTTTTTTGTATTGCCCTATTTCACAACAGCATTCGTCTCGGAGAAGTTTGTAAAGTTATTGATACACCAACAACAGATCAGAGAATCAAACAATTCAAGTACAGGAAGTGTAATAATAAAAAACACAGGAGCCATTAGTCCATAGGGTAGTGGGATGACCAATGTCCGACAATGTTAATAAATGTGCTTATGTCCATAAATGTTCATAAACTTTAAAAATGACTTCATATCATATTTTTTATTCTTACAAAAGTGTAAGAATAGCTGCCGTACAACAGATTCTTCCTCACCTGACCAGTGCTGACGGGGCACAGACTGCTAGACCAGAGCTAGACCAGTTGGTGATCTCCTCCCTCCCCAATCTCTTCTGCATGAAAAACCCGGTAGACGTTGGTCTTGACACCAGCAGCAAGTCCTTCCTAAAGGTACCACATGTGATATAAACACAGTTATTCATGTGCTGATGGTTTCCATGTGACCCAGGTGGAGTCCGTGGAGAAGCTCTACTGTATTTTGTCCTCAGAAACTATAGATATCTCACTGAAGCGGTCAGCTGCTGAACAACTGGCTGTGGTCCTTCAAGGTAAGTTCAGTAAAATGAAAGTATCAATTGTGTGCAATATGCAGTGCCTTGCGAAAGTATATACGCCCTGAACTTCTGCACATTTTGTCATTTTAAACATAAATGTCATATTTGTTTTGTATTTTACTGGAATGACAAAGTAACCGACAACTGTGAGTATAAAGAAAAAGTATACATGGGTTTTGTTAAATAACAACAAAACACAATAGTAAAGTGGTGTTTGCACAGGTATGCATGCATGTTTTGGCCAATGATGTCTTACATTTTTCTCCATCCTCTTCCTGCTTTACTGTGAACGTTCAGTTAAAAATGAAAATAAAATCTTTATGTTTTGGGTTGTAAACAAGACGAAATGTGAAAAAGTTCAAGGTGTATTAGTACTTTCAAGAGGCTTTGAGAGGCACTGTATATTGCAAAAATAAACAGTGATTTTATGTTTTTAGATACAAATATGCACCCTGTGGTCAAGAGTCTTGGAATAAGTGACAAAGTTCTGTCTTTTATTATGGAGTGCGTCAGTGGAAACGAGGTGAGCCTGAGTGAAGAGTACTTGATGCCTACATTCTCATTAACATTTCCTGCATGCCTGTAGATGATAATTTGTAGTCTGTACTGTATGTAAAGGCACTTGCAGGCTCTTCATGGCAGTATTTACATGTGTGAGCGTGAGCTGCCAGTGGCCATAGAGGAGATTTACTGAAGCGCATATTGCTGAAAGATGAAATGGTCTATATTAATTGTGTCAGACAGGTTCTGGGCAGCAGTGATGCTTGGCCTGTAGGAACTGTACTCCACTGCTCCTGCTAACCCTTTGAATCTGAACTACTAACACGGGTAATAGTCCTGCCTGTCTGCTTACATCACAACTACATTGAGAATGACAGTTTCTGAACAAACCTATTTCAAATAACATGCATTCATGCAATGCTGCCCCGAGGTTAAATATCTGTTTTTACATAAGCCTCTATATTAATCTAATTAAAATCCTTTTTTAGGCAATCAGTAAAGACTGAATAAGTGTGAGTAAGTGCCTTTGTTTGGACTGCCATGCGATTGTGTTGCTGATCTCCCCAGAGCCTGGACGGCCTGCTGCAGCCTTGTGTATGTATACTTCGGAAGCTGGTTTTTGCTGATCCCTGTGTGAGACACAGCCTGGCCGAGCGCAGCCCTCTGCTCCTCATGCTGCTCAGAGGTACGTTCAAAAACCCCCTCATTAGACAGCAACTCCATAGTGCTCTCATCCTCTGGGCAAGTTCTGTCACCAGTTGACCTTCCAAAGAAAAGCTTAGTATGAAGCATTGCAAATGTAGTAATTACATGTGTACATATGTTTTGTGATTTTGCAGCTTCTCTAATACTGAAAGAAAACAAAAGTAACAGCAGTGACGTGACTGTATTGATGTGCTTATTGCTGTTTGATGAAATTGCTAGTCTCGAAATGTGGTGAGTTATTCTCCTTGGTCTGTATCTACGTACATGTGTAAAGTCTTTACACGTGTCCTGTTCACATCTTTATAATATTTCTATTTCTTCATTTGTCAGGACTGATCCATCAAAGCATGACGTCAGCGTTTCCACCTTCTCTTTACCCTTGACAATAACACGCAGGTTTCTGGACTTCTGTTTTGTGTGCTTTCATAGTTGGGTCCTTTGCGACATTGTCTGTAATTCTTCCAGGTACAACCTTCCGTTTGTGACGGCCACTCACCACGCCGTCAGCCCAAGCTGCTGCGTGCTGCCTGCCTCCTCTGATCTGTGGACCCTGGGACCTGCACACCATGCCCTGCAGGTGGCCTGGAACACCTCATGGTATTCTGGGATAGACGGTCTCCTTGAGAAATCCCATGAGTTCAGAGAAGACAATCAGTAAGAATGTTGTCTGTTTTATGAAAATCTGGTCACATTTTTGATTTAGTTTTGATGATGAATGAATCACTTATCGCTGTGTCGTAACTTATGAAGTGAAGAAAATTAGCCTGAACATATTGTTTCAAATCTGTGTTACTCTTGTTTCATCTGTCTCCATTTGTGCTAAAGTGACCTAATTCAAACGGATGAGATTGTCTTTCAAAGTGGATTATTCTGCTTTATTACATTTGGGATGCTCAAAGCATCACATCCATGGATCAATCCATGGAATCCAAGTCTTTTTTTCCAATCATCTGTTTGTTTTTAATTACTATTAGCTTTTCTCACCATCCTTTTGATACAGTTCTTCTTTGTCCCAGATTCCATGAGGACCTGAAGCTGAGCACTTCTCAGGTGGAGATGCTGCGGGCCATGCACTACCCCACTGCTCTGGGGGACTGTGTCCAAGCCATATTCACCGCGGCTGGACACAGCTCAGTCTTCTCTGCCCTTTCGCGCCTCAGACTGTTTTTACTGATGGACAAACTGGCCTTGCCTCATGTCCCCACTCACAGCTGTAGAGATACAATGCACTGTTTAAACTGGCACGCAGCAATGAGCAGGTAAACAAGACCATGAGCACAGGGGTATTTTCATGACACTAATATGCTGTTGTTTTGTGTAGGTTTCTCCGGGTTTGCCCATCCTGTGTGGAAGATGAAAAGCTGCTTGTGGCCATTGTTGAATTCCTTAATGATTATTTTAAACAGACTCAACCAGGACCTATGTCAGAACACGAAAACCAGGACCTCTGCTGGATTCTGGAGCTGCTACTTAACCAGGTATAATATCCATGATGTTTGCTTGTAATTAGTTGTTTATCTTTAGTAATGTTTCTAAAAAAGGCTTATAATCAAAGTAGCTTAACTCATTCTACGTAAATGTCATACTACTTGTGCTGTCATAGGAGAGGAATCACAGCATTATAGGTTGGGAGAATTTACTTTTAGGATATAATCAGTCTCACCTTGGCTTTCTCATTAATGTGTGTGTAAACAATAAGGCCTCCCCTGGCATCTCAAACAGACTCGACTGAACGCCTGGTAGGGGTGAGCCGCACTGCTCAGACTTCTGTAATTACTGAGCTGTTTAAGGAACATCTGTCTCTCCACACTTCTTTTATTCCCTTTCTGTGTTGCTTAAACAACATTTCTCTTGGTTGATGGGTACAACGTGCTAATCCGCCATTTTCTTGCAAAGCAACATTTTGTATATATAGATATTTGGTTTATGCTTGCATATGCAATGGTTACATTTAGATTGATTCATTTCAATCAAAGTAAACAAATACAATGTCAAATAAAACTTATTTTTGTCTGTGCATTAAAATAATGTAGGATACAGCATGCCTTCTTGATCTCCTCGGTACAGAGAGTCAAACCCCACAAGAGGAGGAAGAGCTGAAGACTCAAGTCAGTCAGAGACTCCAAAGAGAGCTCATGTCTTTGTTCAACACTTTACTCCAGTGTCTGCGTAACACCACAGACCGGTATGTTCTCTGTGTGTTCCAGCAAAAAAAACAGTCTATAAATAATGTTTATTTATTATGTTGTGTTTTTTCATTATCTCTACATGTTTTCTGGACAGACTATGTTTGACTTTGGCCGGCCCCTTCCGCAGCCAGCTGGCTGAGCGTTTGCTCCAGAGCCTGCGAGTGTCAGACGCCCCTCGTTTCTATGGCCTTCCCAGTCTGGAGAGGACCCTGCAGGGAATGATCTGCCTGACATCCCAGGCTGGCTGGAGCACCCACTGCCCTGACCCAGGGCCAGCCTCCCTCTGTTCCAAGTATCTGAGCGGTCTGTTGGAGGTGAGTTTGTGCTCAACATAGGACAAGTGTGTCAGTGCAGTCTGTCTACATATGTTCAGGGTTTACAAGCCTCCTGTTCCATCTTTAGAGAGGCACACAACAGATAAATGAAATAACCACTCTGCTTTCTGTGGAATTAATTAAAACCAGGGAAAATATGTTTTTTGGACAGGAATCGCAAGCTCTCATTGATATGCCACAGTGTGAAGATGCTGATGAGATTAATCAACCTTACTCTATCCATCTGTTGTTCCGTTTAACAGTCCATAAAAACAGGATGTGTGGGATAACGGAGCTCAGAAACATGTCCAAACTTTTCATTTCAGCTTCTGACAATAGATATAATTTCTCTTGTTTACACAAAGCCTCTTTCCGCTCAGCAGTGCGAATATTTGCTATAATCTGTTTTCGATATCTCAGTGGACTGTTCTGAACGGCAAGGCCATCCTCTTGGGCCCTTGTAATGTCTTTGGTTTATATTTGTCCCCAAAGCTTACAAAAGTGGATTAATTAGTCTCAGTTGAATGTTGCTTGTTTAAACAGTTATCTTAAAGTGAAAATGAAATTGAACAAAATGTACGATCATGTAAAACATGAAAAGCAGTATTATTGTCCTAATTACACTCAGCAAGATACATTGTCGTTTGTAGGTGATTTCTTCCTTCTATGTGGAGTGGAGAGGTAACTTGATGTCTTTCATGGGTAAAGGAGTGACTAAAAGTGCCGCCGTCTGTCTGCTGCACCTGTCCTCTGAGATGATGGCAGAGAACAAAGATGAGGCAAGTGTCACAATGCGCACAGCTGCGTGGGAAGATGTGTCAGAGTTTCTCAATAGTTAAAACAGACCTGTTTTTTTTTTCTTTTGGAAAAATGGGGGCGTTGTGACTACTGTGTAAAAAGTTTATTTTTCAGGATGTAATCTCCCAGTGGTCTCTTGGGAATGAAACAAATGAGGAAGCGAGTAATGCTCAGCTCGGTTTGGCCTGGCTTATACCGCTATGGGTTGATCGGGATCCAGAGGTAAACACCTACATTATAACCATATACACATTATTTATTTATATTGCATGATAGTTTAGTTTACACCATTTAATTAAGTATGCACTATGTAACTTTCTGGTTTTACACATGCTTGCCTCCCTTGAAAAAGTTCTTCTGTGGATTTAAGTCCAGTCAAAAGTAGTTTCTTCCTTTGCTCCTGTATAGCTGACCTCTCTTGAGGAGCTGGGAGGAGAAAGAACCTGTAAGCAAAGTGGCAAAGAACTGAAAAGAACTATGGTCTTCAGGTCTTCTGACTAGTCAGATAATTTTGTGGAATGCTTTAGCGATCTCCATAGAGAAAAGCAGGTTGTGCACCGCCTACCATAAGTGAAATATAAAATGCATTTTATACACCGTTAATGATTCATGTGGAACTGTTGCATGTCAGTAAAAAATACCACATTTGCCCATTTAAATGTCCTAATGGAGCCCACCTTCCTCCATCTGTGACATCAGGTGAGGTGTGCCAGCTTGGGTCTGGGTGCAGCTCTATCGTCGATGCCCGCTGGGTGCCAGGCTTTGTGTGCCAGCTGTCAGAACATCAGCGGAGGGCTGTGGGGCACGTTGCTTAACATCCTTTTGGATCAGCAGGAAAGCAGCATGGTCCGCAGAGAGGTAAATTATTAATGGCTCGTCTCTATTCTTTTGCTGATTAGCTTATGCACTTTAGAAATCCGAATCTTCTACCACACCAAACAGTTTAATGATAATAATGATATAAGTGCAAACGACAATAAAGCAATGATAACTTGCTTTCTGAGCCCGAGAGTTTTGTTGACGTTGGTATTTCCTGCCAGACTCAGACAGATGGCTGTGTTGCTAATGCTGTCTCAACTTGACCTGCTGCTCATCATGTGTTTGTGTGCTTGTCCAGGCTGCATTCATCCTGCACAATTTGCTGGTGATGCCGATGCCAGCCAACGCAGAGGAGGCCAAGGACTCCCCCTGGCAGGTCAGCTCAGCCCGCCATTTAAAAAGCTTTTCATGAACATTTTATTTGTGTAGAATCCATCATTTCTTTCCATCCCAAGCTGTCAACACTTACTGAGACCTGCATCATCTTAAGTTCATACATGAGATACCCTTCATAGTGTGTAAATATTAATTCTCCCTCAGCAATCCTTTCACAAAAAGCGCCATCTTTTTGAGCAGTTTTCAAATAGCAAAATAGTATACGGAGAAGATCTTCAAAAATCACAGCATATCAAGATAAACCATCTTTTTTAGACATGACGTTTGCCCTCAGGGATGTTTGTGAAATTAAGAAATAGGACACGAAATGTCAAACGCCTGATACAGTATTTTTGCAGTATAATGAAAGAAACCGAAGCTTAAGTAAATCAGCAATGCATTGGTTATTTTTCTCAGTATCATTGCTCAACTAATCCTATTTGAATGTATATTTGTCCTCTGCCTAGCACCCATGTGTTCATGATGAAGTGTCAGGTGTGTCTCTGGTGGGCTTGCCAGCGCTTCAGGCTCTGCTTTACCACTGTCAGTATTTCCAGCATGTGGCCTCCTCTGCAGCCGCCTGTTACAAAGGCCGATACACGCCTCTCTTACAACCTCACGCTGCGACCGGTCGTGGAGAAAACAACACTTCACAAGGTACGAGATAAACTGGTGTCCTAGTGTATTGTCCAGATCAGAGCGTGAATACTTTTCCCTCAATCTAACTATATATATAAAAAAATAAATTGTCCACTCACCTTTGGCCCTCCGCGGGCGGTTATCCCTCTCTAAGCTCGGGTCCTCTACCAGAGGCCAGGGAGCTTGAGGGTTCTGCGCAGTATCTTTGCTGTTCCTAGCACTGCACATTTCTGGACCGAGATGTCCGAGGTTGTTCCAGGGATCCGCTGTAACCACTCATCTAGCTTCGGGGTCACTGCCCCGAGTGCACCGATCACCACGGGCACTACTGTCACCTTTACCCTCCAGGCCCTCTCCAGCTCCTCTCTGAGACCTTGGTATTTCTCAAGCTTTTCATGTTCTTTTTTCCGGATGTTACCATCGCTTGGAATTGCCACGTCCACCACCACGGCTGTCCTCTGCCCTTTGTCTACCACCACGATGTCAGGTTGGTTTGCCATTACCATTCGGTCGGTCTGTATCTGGAAGTCCCACAGGATCTTCGCATATATATATATATATATATATATATATATATATATATATATATATCTAATCATCTATCACTGTCTCTTGTTCCAATATAGATTCATGTAATTCCTTATGGTTTTGGAAAGCTGCTGCTATTGAACCCACTGTTAACTTGTGTAGAACTTCCACTTCTGTATCCACCTTCAGCACTGAGGTTAGAAACTTTGTGTTAAAACTTTTAAGACTTTGATGTAACAAGTGACTTAAGAGTCAACTCTAATGTTGTAGATACGAAGCTCTGGAGTCCCCTCTCCTAATGCCCAGTCACCACTCATCGTCCCAGACGACGCCACCACAAACAGATTAACGGCTCAAGGTAAAACAATACTTCATGATCTGCCGCCTCAAAGTCACATCGTTTGAACATAAGAGTCCAAGACAACAGAATTGACTACAAAAACAAAACTCTTGATGCAATGCTATTGAATGATTAAAGTCAAGTTTATGATAGACTTTTTTTTCCTTTGTATCTGTCAGCTGTCAAACAACCTGAGAAAAATGTATTTAGGTTTTGATGTTGTCCCCTCTGAATACTAGAGCTACACTAATTATTATATTTTCATTTGAATCTTTTCTGCTAAAATATTTTTTTTACATATTTATGGCTTGAATATCAAATGTTCAACATTTTCAAGGTTGTAGAATATTAAACCATTAGCCTAAACTGTGCACAGGTGGAACACAGATGTGAGATTCTCTGAAAACAAAGGAAAAGAAAAGTATGCATTTGAATTCGCCTGAGCTGCATTTACTGCATTTCGACTTGGTTTCACTTTGTAGTCAAGACGTCAAGATTTCTCAATAACGAGACAGCAGAGACATGGAACTTTTTCCCCTGGTAAAACACATCTTATAAAGGGGGTTTGTCAATTTTGACAAAATATACAGTTAGAATATTCTTTATAGAAAAGTAGTCCTCTGGAATATGTTTTCATCATAGAGACACTTTGATTTGATTTTGAGTAGTATAGTTTACTTTAGTTTTGTTTAGTCTTTGTTTAATGTTGTATATGAAAGTTGTCTGTTGTCTTATTTCAGTAATCCACATAAATATGCATGAGTGACTAATCCCATCTCACCCATGTGTCCCTCAGGCCAAAGCGACACAGACACCAGCGCCTCCGTCTCATCCCAGGACTCCCTCCACGGCGAGTCCGCGACCGTGGAGCCTATCGTCATAGTAACTCCTGACCTCCTATCGGCACACTGCGGCCTTCTGGGTAATCTGCTCTCCATCGTGCCAGACTTCACTCTCTCTGCCATCCGACAGCACCAGCTTCTGCAGGCACTCGCCAGGTAAGAAGCATCCTCAAAACAACAACGAGTAGTTTACAAATTTCCCTTCTTTTTAGCATTGTATATTTTCTAGCAGATAATGTATTGGTGCTTGTTGCAATTTGACAATAAATCTGTTGTTAGTGTGGTGGACATTAAACTCATTGAGAAGTGCCTGAGTGACTTGAAGATTCCTTACATTGTGCGGGAAGAACAAGCAGACATCAAGAGTCAGGTAAGTAAATTCAGCTAAACAGACTTGCCCTGGGCTGGTGCCTCTCTCTCGGCACCTCCAGGTTTAAGCGTAGGTGGAATACTTAACAAGTATTAATTAAAATTAAATCTTTGTTTGAGCTAAATGTTGTGTTGTATTAGTTTTATTGCTGCCCCCTTTTATATATTCAACCTTTTTTTAAGTATTCACATTTTTACAGAAGCGGATTATTGTTTGTCTGTGTCCAATATTCTGCTGTATCATTTCAGCTGGTGACCCTCCTTCAGTTCCTGTCCGCCTTCTCAAAGCTGCTGCAGTCTTATGTTACAGTCAGTCAAGAGCCTTGTGGGCTCCCAGACTTCATGAAACAGCTGCTTCCTTCTTTTGTGGCGGTGCTTATGCTGGACACAAAAGGACTAGGTTGGAATAATCTTAATCATATCTAGTCGTATTAGTTTAACCTCATTTACGCATAATACAGTAAATCACCAGTTTTCTGAGATGGCCACACTCTGCATCAGTTTGTGCTTCTGCGGTCACATTTCTCATTTTATTTCAGTTTCCCTATGAATGATCGTTCCTGCTTAGCACATTTTGTCAGGGTTGTCTGGTCGGCTTTCACCAAAAACTTGTGTCCCTGGATTTCTTCCTGCCAGATCCTGGTTCAGAGGACACGGTGCGCTCGTGCTGGGCGGACATGTTTTTGCTCCTGGCTCTTCTGGTGAGGAGGGACAGCTCTGCAGTTTACCCAGCTGTCTCAGTGGCGCTGGCAAGACGCTGGCGTAGCTTTGCAGGTAGATGGACTGTCATATCAGACCTTAGCATCATATTAGTATTTATATGACTTCTTCTTCATTCTAATTAGTATAGTGTATAAATTAGTATACAATTAAAATGGGTGCTTTCTATGTGTATTTGTTTGTGTCTGGAAAAGAGGTTTTTTTTTTTATGTTACAGGGACATTATCCATGTGTGTCAACGAGAAGTCCTCCAGCAGCTCCCTTCACACTGCGGCTCTACAGTTTGTCAGCACCGTTTTTACTGAAGAGACAAAGAAACGAGACGCAAAAGCTAAAAATACCTCTGCTCTGTCTGAAGTCCTGTGTGGTTCTTCATCAGAGCAGCTGTGTGACCTCCTTCTGCATGTAGGGGGCAGCACTCAGCCATTCAACGTTTCTTGATTAGATGTATGACTTTGTTCACATTCTCTGATTCTGTGCTCCAGAGTTTTGAGAAGAGGTCACTTCAGGATCCTCTGAAGACACACACAGCCAGAGCCTTGATGACACTGATGGCGTGTAGAGCCACAGCCCAGAGCTATGCCGCCAAAGGTACGACTAATGTTTAAACAAGCACATATTAGACAAACTGTGTTATGCATGCAAATATTTCATATACTAGCTATAAAACTAAATAAATACAACAGTACAGCTCATTTACTGGTGAAACTTAGAAAATTAACTCAAAAAGTCCATTTACAATTTGAAAAAAATGGATAGACTCATTCCATGCAAAGTGAGATATATCGAGCCTTTTTGTGATTATAATGTTAATAATTATAATTCACAGCTAGCAGAAAGTCCAATTTAAATTAAACCAAGCAAAATGAATGAGAACACATGTGTGGAGTGAACTTTTTTCTTACTTGGTTCAAGGTGTGATCATAATTTATGCATGGGTTAGGGTTAATCGGATCAGAGCTTATATAAGGGTCTTTGCCATCTACCGGGATAAAAATAAATCATCTAACATACAGGTGAGACTCTGAATATTAGGATATCGTTCAAAATCGTAAAAAATATGAAACTAATATATGCTATAAGCTCATTACATTCAGAGTGACATATGCCTTTGTTTGTTATAATGTTGTTGATTATTAACATATATATAGACAATATATAGGTTAAACGATATTATAATCTTAATTTACAAGTTTCTCCTGTAATAATCGGTATCATAAACATAAATTACACTTACAGCTTTTACTTTTTCACAGCTGGATTAATTGATACTTGTGTGGAGCAACTCAAACAGATTTACTCCCAACTGAACTTGGAATCAGCTCGACCTGGCAGGACGTCCCACCGCAAGAAGGTGAGTGAAACCAGACTAAACTTCTGGACTCCCAGCGGTGTGGTGTCATCAAAGCTGTTCAAAGATGTTTTATAAATATTATGATGCAGTGTATCTGCGTGACATCTTGTATCTTGTTTCTTTCCTTTAGGATGATGGCTGTTTGAAGGAAGTGAAGCTGACGGTTGAGATTCTGCAAAGTGCTCTTTACTGCAACGATGAATGCAAAGTAAGCTTCTACGTCTGCTTTTTAATTCCCTGCTGCTAATAGGTTTTTAATGGTCCCTCAGAGAGTTATCGCTGTGTCTGTAAATGAGACTCCTGAATGCTTCTGTCTTGGATTTCAGCTTTACTTACCCATTGAATAATTCTTCTGCAAAGCTCATTTCATGTTACCAAAGTCACAACCATAACCAAACAAGTCAAACCTTCCTCTTCCATGACCACATGCTCATGATAACCCAAATCTATAAACGGCTCATTTTGTCTCATCACGGTGACTAATCAGTAAATGATTGTGATAAACAGTCATATTGAAACTACTTTATGCCACTGATACAAAGACAGTACAGTAGGATGATGGCAAGAGAGCAATTTTCTCTTTTCTATTTACGGTGGATAACAATTATTCTCTGAGAAAATAAAAAGCAGAATTCAGAGATATGTAGTTCTCTACAGCCAATACTTCTAACGCAATAGAAACAAGTAAAGTTCAGACTATAGAATATTATGGTTCTTTCTATGAGACAAGTATGAGTTGAACATTTATTCTCTATATATGCAGCATAACATTTTTGGATTTTTTTTTTGTGAGGGTAGAAATAGGGTAACAGTTTCCATGTGCAGAAATACCATTCTACACACGGCAACTGTTAAAATATTTCCTTTGGATATTACCTTCATGTTTATGTTAAATCTGTCTCTCAAAGCTGGAACCCATTTGTTTGGACCAAGTAATAATAATTATGTATGGGGCATATTAGTATTCAAGAGCCTTTACAAGTGTGGAGGAGAATAAATTGAATGTCTATTTGCATTTGAACTTGCAGACCATAGCCACAGACGCACGCCTCACTCTGGCCCTGTACTCTCTTTGGCCTTGGCTCCTATTGGACGAGCCTACCATGGAGGCGGTCCTTGAGCTGCTGTGCGTCTACACAGCGCAGTTCACCACAGGTCAGTCAGCATGTTTTACTGTCTTATAAGCACCAAGTATTTTTAACGCTGCGTCTGGTCCGTGCCGCTCTGTCTGTGGATTTCTTGAGTCACACAAACTTTGCATTCAGAGGCACATTGTTCTCTTCGCTGACCAGTGTACTCTCCGTTGTCCAGCTCCTGCTTTCACACAATAGGGACAGTGTGGGGCTCCGGGGCTGGGGCTGTATGCTTGTCTCGCGGTTTCTATTGGAACGACTGTCAAAACAAAGGCAGATGATGTGGCTGCACTGAACATCTCTATTGCCCAAGAAACAGACACTGAGAAATGAACAAAAATAAGTGCTTGAGTTAAATAGTTAATCCATTGGAATAAGCTGATGTTATGTGGTTTGAAAGCATAGAATGTGGAGTTTGTAAATGTGGATGTAAATTAATTTACATCAACCGGCCTTCTAGAATAGAAAACAGCTCTGCAATTAAACAGATAGGACTTTGGCTGATGTGGTGTTTTGTAAATGACTTCTATAGAGGCTCTATACTGTATCTACGTATATTCACCAGTCCAGTCTTTTACAATGCATTTCTACTCACTGCATTTTCTACACTTCATCCTGTGTCTCTATTGTTTTTCATCCGAGAAAAAAGGAACCATAAGGCAAATACAATCTTTATATTTTTCTCCTAATTCCCTGGGGCGAGTATGGGTAGCAGCTATCCATAACAAACCAGGGAGAAGCTTGGCTATCAGGCCCAGTCCTTGTACACCTTTTACACACTTTGGAGCTAGCTGAAATTAGCCCGTTGGAGGCGGGACTTGCCTCTGTCAATCACTACACTACTGAGCCATTATCTGTGAATCAGAGCTTATTCTGTTATTTTTTTGAGCAAAAGGGTTAATCAGATGAATACAAATTACAATATTATAGCTTCACACATGGCAATATTACACTACTTATCGTAAGAGAAATAATGATTGCATTTTCAATAAAAAACAAAAACAAATAAACACACAGGACCAATGTGTTTGTTATTATTTCCTGTATTTCAACTGTTTGTTTAATTGAGTTGAACAGTGCTTTGAAGTTTATATGTTTTGAAGTTGAAGAAAAATTGAAAAGAAATAAACCAGACAACTAGATTTTTTTCAAATCACAGGAAGGCTCTCACCCACGAACCGCCTTTGTTGGTATGTGTGAGTTGTTCCATATGAATCTGCTGTTTGTCATGTTAGTGCTTCACTCATCTACAGTGTGTGTGTGTGTGTGTGTGTGTGTGTGTGTGTGTGCGTGTGTGTGTGGGTGTGTTATATCTGCAGCAGTGGCTCCTCAGCTGTGAGCTCTAATCTAAACTCACTAGTGTTTAGATTCCCCTTCGGCCTCCACTATCTGTGAAGTGGCAGAACCCAGTCAAGTCAGGCCCCGTTCCCCTTAAGGTTAAACCAAGCAGCAGGTTATGTTCTGGCTGCATGAAGCCAGTTTTGCTATTACACCACCACCGTACCCTGCAGCAAGCTTTAAGTCTCCAGAGATGCCTGTATTTCTACTGAACGTTTCACTTGAAGTCTGCACTGTTCTGGCTCAGTGTGTTTTACTGACATTTTATTTAGGCTCAGAATAATATTGATCGGTTTAGACATGAGCCTCCACTGAATACATGGCCTGAATTCAAAATTACAGTGCATTTTTTTGGGTCATATTATCAACAACAGAACATATACACAAACCCAGGTTCACGACAACCATTCTAATGATGAATTATGATTGGTGGGATCGTCAAAATAAACTATTGTATGTCTCCTATGTTAGAGGTTTTATTAGAGGGGTTAATTGTTGATATCTCAGACTATTTTTATATTGGGGTATATTTGGGCCAAGTCTACATACATTTACAAGTCTGAAATCTACTGAATAATCTGCCATGTAATACTTGCACGTGTAATCATTAGCCGTATAAAATCGATTTGAATTTGAAATGAGCCTTGTCATTAAGCAGCTTTCCTCATCAGTTCAGTGAGAGTGAAGACAGATATTGAGATAACCCCAGGCTAACATTAGCTTAGGCTTGTTGCGTACGTTCAAGGATTAACACTGGCAACGAGCTGCCATGTTTCCCAATATGTCTCATCAATCAGCGTCAGACGGAGGGAGCTCGTGCTGCTGATCTTAAGCTTCTTGTTGATTTTTATATTTCCAGTGTAAAATATACTGCAGCAATTAGTCATGTCAGTTATGTTGACGAAAAGCCTCCGGAGACTTGATATTTGCTCTTTGCATTACTGAATGAAGTGTATGAGCTTGTAATACGAGAGGATTGAACAAAATGGATTATCCTCGTGTGATCTCATTACTGTCAAATATTCGGTTGTTATCCCCAAACAATGTGACGACCTTTTCATGAATGCAAAGTGACAATTATAACATGACGGTTTCAGTCTGAGGAGACGAACAAGATGCTTTTGCATAATGATTTTTAACCACGTTATAACATTATTGCCTCATCAAAAACATACAAAATGCTGTTATCAGGAACTCAGACATGTCTAGGCTGTAACAATTTATCAATTAATTGAAAGTTGTTTTCATTAATTGAGAACTATTTTAGTAATTTGTTTATTTATTTGCTGGAAGATGTGATTGTTTATAATTCCCTATAAAGAAGGATGTCCTCCTTTGGCTTCACTTCTGCTGTTTTTTTGGTCAAATTGAGTTTTAAACAACAAATCAATTAATCTGAAGAATAGTTGGTCTATTAATTATAATCTCTTAATTTAATATTATAAATAATTATTTTGTCAAAATCCGTCCATCATGAACCCGTTTTGCTCTGACATTTCCATCCACATCTTGTTCAGAGGCATTTTATGCATTTTATGTATTCCCTCTAAAGAAATGTTGAATTTGATGGGATAGTTTTAAAATGCAACCTGTTTCTTTTGCCTCTCGCAGCATGCAGCTGTCTTTGTGGTAGTGGTCCTGGGGTTGCCCCTGGGTCTAAAGGCTCTTCGGGGAGCTCTCTGATGCTCTCCATCATGAAACTGGCCTCAGGGATCGCCCCTGACAACAGCTCTATCCAGAAACTCTCCTTCTACCTCCTCTCAAATCTGTGCATATCCCGGGACTGCAGGGGTCTCCTTCAAAAGGTACTGCACGCTCCTCCAGACTTTAGACCATAAGGTTTTAAATCAGAGTAAACTTTTACCAACTAAAAATGTGACCAGGCTGTAAATTCTATTCTTAACTCACAGCTGATCAATCAATGTGACACGCCTCCTCTCATATTCTACAGCATAATTTCCTACAAGGCTTCCTGTCCTTACCGGTGCCTAAAGCGTCGCTGAAACCCTCGGTCGGTTCCGGAGGTGTGCTAGCGCTGTGGCTGAAGTTGCTGATGAGTTTATCCGTGTGGGAGGACGGACAGCAGAGCATCACCAGACTGACCGGAGCTCTGGAGACTCTATCAGACCTGGCCTCAAACTGGAACCAGGCTCTACTCACCCTTCACAACCTCTGCTTCTGCCCAGCTAACAAGCCTCACATCATCGCCAATGGTATGAGGTTCAGTATGAGGTTCAGTATGAGGTTCAGTGTGAGGTTCAGTATGAGGTTCAGTATGAGGTTCAGTGTGAGGTTCAGTATGATGTTCAGTATGATGTTCAGTGTGAGGTTCAGTATGAGGTTCAGTATGAGGTTCAGTGTGAGGTTCAGTATGAGGTTCAGTATGAGGTTCAGTGTGAGGTTCAGTATGAGGTTCAGTGTGAGGTTCAGTATGAGGTTCAGTATGAGGTTCAGTGTGAGGTTCAGTATGAGGTTCAGTGTGAGGTTCAGTATGAGGTTCAGTGTGAGGTTCAGTATGAGGTTCAGTGTGAGGTTCAGTATGAGGTTCAGTATGAGGTTCAGTGTGAGGTTCAGTATGAGGTTCAGTGTGAGGTTCAGTATGAGGTTCAGTATGAGGTTCAGTATGAGGTTCAGTATGAGGTTCAGTGTGAGGTTCAGTATGAGGTTCAGTATGAGGTTCAGTATGAGGTTCAGTATGAGGTTCAGTATGAGGTTCAGTATGAGGTTCAGTGTGGGGTTCAGTGTGGGGTTCAGTGTGAGGTTCAGTATGAGGTTCAGCGTGAGGTTCAGCGTGAGGTTCAGTATGAGGTTCAGTGTGAGGTTCAGTATGAGGTTCAGTATGAGGTTCAGTATGAGGTTCAGTATGAGGTTCAGTGTGGGGTTCAGTGTGGGGTTCAGTGTGAGGTTCAGTATGAGGTTCAGCGTGAGGTTCAGCGTGAGGTTCAGCGTGAGGTTCAGCGTGAGGTTCAGTGTGAGGTTCAGTATGAGGTTCAGTGTGAGGTTCAGTATGAGGTTCAGTGTGAGGTTCAGTATGAGGTTCAGTGTGAGGTTCAGTATGAGGTTCAGTATGAGGTTCAGTATGAGGTTCAGTATGAGGTTCAGTGTGAGGTTCAGTATGAGGTTCAGTGTGAGGTTCAGTATGAGGTTCAGTGTGAGGTTCAGTATGAGGTTCAGTGTGAGGTTCAGTGTGAGGTTCAGTATGAGGTTCAGTGTGAGGTTCAGTATGAGGTTCAGTATGAGGTTCAGTATGAGGTTCAGTATGAGGTTCAGTATGAGGTTCAGTATGAGGTTCAGTGTGGGGTTCAGTGTGGGGTTCAGTGTGAGGTTCAGTGTGGGGTTCAGCGTGAGGTTCAGCGTGAGGTTCAGCGTGAGGTTCAGCGTGAGGTTCAGCGTGAGGTTCAGTATGAGGTTCAGTATGAGGTTCAGTGTGGGGTTCAGTATGAGGTTCAGTGTGAGGTTCAGTGTGAGGTTCAGTGTGAGGTTCAGTATGAGGTTCAGTGTGAGGTTCAGTATGAGGTTCAGTATGAGGTTCAGTATGAGGTTCAGTGTGAGGTTCAGTGTGAGGTTCAGTGTGAGGTTCAGTGTGAGGTTCAGTATGAGGTTCAGCGTGAGGTTCAGTATGAGGTTCAGCGTGAGGTTCAGTATGAGGTTCAGTATGAGGCCTGGTGCAATGATACAATCAGTGTTACAGAGATATTTCAATAAACTAGAATACTGAAACGTTTTTATGCCACAGACATTAAGACAACCATTGATTTGTAATATTGTCAATTTTCAGACAGAAAAGTGAAAAATAGAGTTTGCTTAATACAACACGTGTTAAAGAAATGACAAAATGTTATTTTTACCAAACTTTCTGTTGGTACTGGGACAAACAATGATATACAGAAGTTAGGTGCCCCTCCTATAATCGTTTTGTCATACTTTCCTTTAGCTCATGATGGTTTGAGAAAAGTGCCATTTATTCTTTCATTCTTGTCCTTCATACTCTGTTTGAATGTTCCCCCGTTTCAATGAGATGAGAAAGCTTTTACCACAGTGAACTAACAACAAAGGTTATGATGGAAACAGACGAGTGGTGAGTGTGGCGACAGGTGGGAGGATATAAGTGTGTTTTTGTGAAAACCACACGTCCTATGTCACGTACATAATCCTTGTAGGAAATCGCAGTGAAGCTTAACATGTCAATCACTTATTGGGGGATTGGGGTGGGAAGTTATCTTCTTCCCACTCCCTTCAGGCAGAATTAGGTCATGTTTATATGCAGTTTATACTGTACATTCACTTTTTCCCCAACCAACACCATTCACTCACTCGTTACATTCATAGCTATTGTAAAGGTTTTTAGTGGTAGGGGTAACCGGGGCAACTGGAGTAAACCTACGCAGACACAGGGAGAACATGCAAACTGCACTCAGAAAGTCCCTTTTCCGACCGGGATTCGAAACCCAGGACCTTCTTGCTAAGAAGCGAGAGTGCTAACCACTTAGCCACCGTGCCTGAAATAAATGAAAATGACTCATTTGTGTTTGTCAGAGAAAGCCATGAAGGTGCTGAGCGGCTGCCTGCAGAGTAAGAACCTGGAGACCTGCTGCACCGGGGCGTCTGCGCTGTGGGCTCTGCTTCACAACAATCAGAGGGTAAACTACACACAATAATTACACTGTGTTATGGCGTCTCTCCGGTGATGGCTGACGATTTAGAATGTGTAGTGTTTTTCACTGATCTGCGTACGGTACGGTGAGGAACGCCGCTAAGACATTGTTTTTCTAATGGCCTTTTTCATTTTCTCCAAAGGCCAAGGCGTCCTTAAAGTGTCCCTTGATTCGATTGAAGCTTGAAGAAGCGTATACCAGCACTAGAAAAGGTATGCGTTTGCCGACTAACTCGAAATAATCACCACTTAAGGCAATTTAGACAACCTGATTTTTCTTCGACTCCAGACAAAGCCCAGAAGGAAAACCCAATGAGAATCTACCTAATGAAGTGCCTCGAAAACCTCTCCCAGCTGTTGAAAAACTAAATGCTCTGGTCAATTTATTTATTTTTTGTATCATGTTTTATATATGTCGAATGGTATTTTTTGATAATAATAAATAATGTGGTTTAATTAAGTGCCTCTTTTCTTTACAATTGTTAAATCAGAAATCCTTATTCCATTTTAGCCATAACAAACCTCTCATGTCTATTTGGGTTTTAGTTGGTATCTTGTTGAAGTGAAACTTAGAAAATTAGAATATTGTAAAAGTGTTGTCAGCTCTTAGGACTACAAAGTTGTCAATTTGCAAAGACAGATCAGAGAATCAAACAGTTCATAAGTCCATGTACATCTCTAATATAACTTAATATTTAAAATTAGTATATGACAGAAGTGTTAATGTTGACAATTGGTTCAAAGCTTGTAAAAACCCCAGACAATAATCTTCGAAATGAAGAATCCTTTGAATATGCCATAATCATCAACATTATGACAAAAGCTTGAGTCAATATCATATTTTGGTTTAACTATGAATTATAGAAGTAAATTAACTTGATTTCTTTCCAAGTAGATGGCAAATACCCGTATCAAAGTTCTAATCCTGTTGACCAATGTATGTATGAATTATGATCTCGCCTTCCCATACCATACCATACCATACTAGCTTTATTTATGAAGCACTTTAAAAACTTTACAGTTCAGCCAAAGTGCTGTACACAAAACAAAACAATTTTTTTTTTACAAAACAAAAAAATAAAAAAGTCCATATTTATTCAGCTCATTGTGGTTAACAAGGCTGACATTATCTGCACATCCAGTCGAGAGCCGGCAGGAAGTACGTCTCAGTTGCCCCTCGACTTGTCACATCAATGCTGCTTTCATTCTCCCACTGTGGGGCACGATGGGAGCTGTGAACAAGGATCACTGGTACTTCATGGTACTCCTCTGTCTTTGCTTTGTCAAAGGTACGTAAAACAAAATACTGCTTATCTGCTTTTCAGTCTGTAGATGTTTACTACCATGAGGCATCTTTAGTCTATTCAAACTTGTCAGAACAAATTCAATTCTAACTTTTGACAGGATGAATTTGTTGAAGGATTATTATGGTCACTCCAGTGTTTCTTTTCTTGATAACATCGTCTACTTGTCCTAGTTAAATTGATATTCCAAAACTCTAGTCTATCGAGAATACCGTCTGACTTGAAAATTACTTGTAATTTTGTTTGGATGAAAAGCGTTGAAAAACGTTGGAGCTTGATCTGTAGATAATGTCGGTGGTGATGGGCTCATTATCATTTCCCTGGAGACGGCTGCGATCTGTGAAGAAGATAATCTGTGCAGAGTTCTGTTGATGCTTTTCCTCCAAGAGACACATTTTATAGGTGCAAATCCTCTCCTAATGATTGCAGAAAATTAACTTATTTCTGGGTAAATAATTATAATAATAACTTGTATCATCTCCATTTCTACAGATGAACTTTAGAAGCAGAAGCAGTGGTGTTTATTGTTGTAGACCTTGTAGCTTTATACATAATGGCAGTTTGTAAAAGCTCCTTTTCTGTGGTGACGAATGCCAGAGGTCTGTGTGCAGTGCAAGCTCACCGGGAGCCGAGCACCCTGGCTCTGTCTGAGGGCATGGAGCTGGACTGTTTATGTCCCTGGAGTGGAAACCTCAGTATGGTCTCTTGGACCAAAGGCCAAGACAAGCACCCCATCGCAGTTTTCCATCCGGACTACGGCACATCCTTCGCGTACCAGTACAGAGAGAGGGTGGAGTTTCTGAGGAGAAGTTCTCTGGACGGAAGCATTGCCCTGAGGAACGTCACCCACCAGGACACCGGCCTGTACCACTGCTCCGTGCAGACTTTCCCCCAGGGGCCATGGAGCAAGAGCATCTATGTGGAGGATCTGGGTAAATCTCACACCTCTGCTTTAATTAGAATATGAGAATTTCCTGTGGTAGTGCACATGTATCGACTCGTGTAAGACACTAAATTATTGGCTGTTCCTGAAAACGTGGACAAACTTTGCCACCAAAGTATTAAGTTGAGAAACTGGATCTGTAACTTCATCATACTGACATCATTCCCATGCTAGAATGTAGTGAAAAAGGTTCTATTATTGATCTGATCCGGACTCTGGAGACTAGTTCTACTGTTTACATGAAGTGAATAAAAGTATTATTTCAGTCAAAGTGCTCTACTGAGCTGCAGTAGAACATTTGTAGTGGGACATTTTCTATTCTACCAAAATGAAAAACAAGATTATATTTCCCCCCTTTCATCTGAAAGCTGTTGTTTTCAGTTTCCTGTGTGCTGTTGTGATCTGTGTGACAGATGAACCTCCAGCAGAAGATGAAGAAGACGAAGCGGCCTCGGGTTTAGAGTTCCCCACTTCAGAGGCGCTGGACACCAGTCTGCAGCTGCTGGCGGAGCTCAATGAAAACCTGACCCTGAGCTGTACTGGACTGCCCAACGTGACCGTGTACCAGGTCATCATGGAGAAGAGAGTGGGGGGCCGGCCGTGGGACATCATTGCGGTGTGTAAGCAGCTGGACGGGGGTCTGCTGACGGAGGACTACAGCGACAGAGGCAGCATCAGCTGTGCTCACACTCTGGACGTCAGCCTCCACCTGCTGCACGTCCAGCCGGAGGACAGCGGCTTCTATCGCTGCACCTTCCACACAGAGACGGGCTCCCACCACACCAACATGAGCCTCACTGTGTCTGAGAGAGGTGAACACACATGCAACACACACACAAACGCACACAAACACACACACATACACAGAGACGGGCTCCCACCACACCAACATGAGCCTCACTGTGTCTGAGAGAGGTGAACACACATGCAACACACACACAAACGCACACAAACACACACACATACACAGAGACGGGCTCCCACTACACCAACATGAGCCTCACTGTGTCTGAGAGAGGTGAACACACATGCAACACACACACAAACGCACACAAACACACACACATACACAGAGACGGGCTCCCACTACACCAACATGAGCCTCACTGTGTCTGAGAGAGGTGAACACACATGCAACACACACACAAACGCACACAAACACACACACATACACAGAGACGGGCTCCCACTACACCAACATGAGCCTCACTGTGTCTGAGAAAGGTGAACACACAGCATCACACAGCACACACGCACAGCACACAAACCGCATACAACACACACACACACACTGAACCACGGCTTCCTGTGGCCTTCACACATTCCTCTGCAGGTGTCTGTCTCTCATCTTGTCTTCACCACTATGTAAACGTTGTGTATGTTTGTATTGTGTATACGCAGGTGGCTTCAGTCTGTCCATGTACATGTTCTATGTCTACTGCAGCGCTGGGACCGCAGGGCTGCTCCTCCTCATAGCCATCATTCTAATTATAGTCAGACAGAGGTAAAAGCTGATGTAAATGAAAGTCGTGTAAAGTGGTAAATCTACTGTTTAAAAGATTGTTCTTCATCTGGTTTTAATGCTTCTTTTTTAGGAACAAAAACAAACGAATAGAGTATAGCGTGAAGAACATGTATCCAGCACACAAACGGGTAAGAATTCTCATGTCCAATCGTTATTAACTTCCAGCTCCCTTGATTTTCAACGTATTAATACATGCAGCTGTTCAGAATAAAACTAACACGTTTAAAGATTGAACGATGAGTTGTCCAAGAAAAACTCAATCATCTGAACCTGAAGTAGAGACGTTTGTTTTATCCTGCACAGCTGCAACTTCTTATTAACCCGTCCTAACCCCGTGTCCCACATCCACAGCCAAATGTCTATGAGAACCTGTCTGTGTGTCCCAGCGGAGCAAAGAGGTCCGTGTTTACCAGGAACTGCCCATTGTACGCCAACCTGCCGGCAGTCCACGGCCACAGGCGCCCTGCCTCTAACAGCTCACAGCATCAGGGCGTGTATGTGTAGTCAGCTGTCATGTACAATGGGACATATGTCTTTATACATGATGCTTTAAAGCTGGGGTGCCTAACTTTCAAACCACAGCCACTGGAACTATGTAAGGAATCCATCTACAGAAGTTCCTTATTCTCAAAACAGTTTGGTTTCATCAATAGTTTTCACATGTATGTATGTTTTAATACGTCTTTGGACCAACTTTTTTTATGACGGAAAAAAGAAAAAAAGAGAAAAACCTCCTCACTCAGCCAATCATCTCTCGGCCCAAAGCGTCAAATAGTGACTTGTGGGACTCCTTGATCCATTCCCAAGTATCCAAGCCCTTGTATTATCCTCTTCTATTGAGATAAAGGGATGTGGACTGATTTGTTCACAATCATGTTCTTTTTTCTTACATGACGTCAAGACAACAAAATGTATTATTTATGACAACTTTATAAATGTGTAGGAAAAGTCCCTTAAAAGTTGGCAATCTGGGCTTGGGACTGATACAGTAAAATGTTTATGCAGCCAACAAATCCACATTGATCACTATTATCCCCATCACACTTACATTATTATTTACTGTATATTTAATTATTTCCGTGCCCCGTGTATGTCCATGCATGTATTTCATCATTTGTGTTCATGTTTTGTCTTTTTTAACCAAAGCTAACTGCGTCCCAGCCCGCTCTTCTTAGTTAAACCTTTCACTTCATAATTACTGTTGAGGAAATTGTTTTTGTGCCACAATAGTTGACAGTGGGCCTCTCAAAAATCCTGCATAATCATCCCTTTCACTTCCACAACCCTCTGGTAAAACGACAGGACAATAGCTGGTGTAATTGCACTCTTTCCTTTTTACTCGTGTCCCTCCTGGTTTCCTATTCAAAGCCCCACAATTGCTGTCTAATCAACGGAAACAAAACAGAACCGCATTTCCCAGAAGGCACTGTGTCTAGGATGGCTGTGTTCCACATATTATGAAAGCTACACTCTTAATTAGCCATTCCTGTGCTTTGTCTCCCCAAAACATTCCCGATATTTTTATTTTACGCAGATATTAGCTTTGATTTCTGGTGCTGTAATGTAATTTAGACTGTACGTGTTTGTAGAGTTGGAGACAGTGGCAGAGGAAGTGACACAGCGACTGAATTGTGGATTTGTCTGACAATGTTTGCAACTGTTTTTTGTAACAAGCGATAAAGAAAGTGAGCGAGAGTTTGAATAAAAGTTTGTCTCTCGCCTCTGTGATTTCATGTCCTCTTCCGTCTGTAGGTGTGAACAAAGCAAAAGGTGGAGGAAGTGTACTCAAGCTAAATTATCAGCCAGTGTATCATGATTTTTCCACATTAGACAAAAAATAATAATAACAAGTAATATTTTCTTAAGTATCTTCAGCCTGCATGAGAAAAAAAAATCTAAAAACCTGTGTGATTAGATAAAATCACTGAAATTTAGTGAATAGAAGTCTATATTTTCTCACTTTTTGCGGTGAAGTCTTAAAATAGTGCAGTCTATAGTAGCTCACACAACACAGACATTCAGTTTATTGGCTCGAAAACCTGACATATGTACATACTGTAGTCCTACACTCACACACACACACACATACAAAAGTGCTAGTGACACATAACAGGACAGAAGGTGACGAGCGTGACGTGATGCTAAATGGTTTTCATTTTGTTTTGGGTCCAAATAGCTCAGATAAGTTCAACCCTAATAATAATCATAATAATAATAATGTAAAATAAAAACAGAATCACATTGTAATGGGACCAATACACAAACAACACAATCAGTGCAGGAGATCTTCCACAATATATAAATACTAAATTAACTTAAAGTAAACACAATACATCATTCTCTAAACAAATTAAATAGACTGGATGAGAGATTCTCAAAGGTGCTACAAGGTTAAGTGACATACACAGACTCCAAATGAAATAAATAAAAGTACATTTGCTTTGCTGCCTGATTGTCATTCATTTTAGTGAACGTACTTCAACCACAGATAAAACAAATGAGGTTTATGTGATGTTTTCTTTTGTTTGTTTTGGAGACTACAGTCAGACGAGGGTTTGGTTTTGGAAGGCACTTCTTACAGAAACGTACGCAGTGAAGCAATGCAGCATGAACTGAAAATTATCCCCTATCTGGGCGATTTCAAAACAAAGTATAGGCTGGAATTCTTTAGTCAAAATGTGTCTGGAAATCTGACAAACCTGAAGCTGGGGTACCTAACTTCACAACCTCCACAAATGTAATATATGTGATAAAATCTGTCTCATGGTGGTTCTATGGATAGTTTTCACATGCATGTATTATTCACACACGCAGCTTTTTCAGACAGAAAAGTAAAAACGTCAGGACCACCCTCACTCAGCCAATCAGCTCTCAGCCTAAAGCGTCAAATCGTCAGAGCACTTTCTTACAGGTACACAAAATGTACACTGTTTTACATGTGGTGGTCTGATTTGTTCACATACATATACAAAACAATTTCTGTTTGGGCAGACATGTTATTTAGAAAACAAAACGTCAGGTACCCCAGCTTTAAAGTAATCGAGAGAACAATGAACAAGTACATTTCAACTTCACTGTATGAATGAAAAATCATTTGTTGAAGATGTGGCATTCCTCCGAGAGCTGAGGGTGCATTTCATTCAAATGAGCCATATGTTTATTCATCAATCACTCCGTATCGTGGATGTTAATGAAACATGGGAAAACTAAAATCTACTAAGCATTTTGTTGCACTTGTTGAAGTTGCTGAGGTCACAAATAAGCCGACACGAAAGTCCCTCTAAAAAGGCCTTGTTGTAGTCTACAGTTCACACTACTGTTTAAAGAGGAGGGGGATCCTATGATACAAGTCTCACTATACAGGTCTCTACAGTCGCTGGTTTGAGAAGTCCACACGTTTGGCCCTGTCATTGGAGCGGTCTCAGGCTGCAGTTCGACGCGTGGCCACTAGAGAGCGATGGTGCTTCATGTTGTGGCTGCTCCTCTTCAGGCTGGTGCTCCTCCTGCTGCTCCTCCTGCTGCTGGTGCGCCTCCTGCTGGTGGTCCTCAGACAGAAAACTGGGGAAGGTCTGTGCGCGAGGGATGAAGTTTAAACTCAGGGCGTTTCCTTAAAAAGACAGAAGGGATTTAGTTGTAGAATAAAAGTCTGGTTGTGAGGTGAATATGAACAGTGTTGGGGAGAAAAGGTATGTATTTTTAGATTACAGAAGACCTGCTTTCAAAAAAAAAAAAAAAATCTGATGTAGTTTGTTACATGGTTGAATCACACTGTCTTCTGTGTAGACGACTTTATTACTCATTATTGTTATTGCCCTTGTAAGTAACAGGAAGTCACAAACTATATGTATTTCCTTTGGCATATTGTGCATAAACAAATGATAAAACAGTAAAAAAAATCATAAAGGCATGTGATAAATACCAAAATACAGCTCTAACATAAAAACGCTCACAAGAGACATTTAACAGTGCAGATTATCATTAAGTGTCCAGAGTTTATACAATATTTTTTAATAGGGTCACATACTGTACAGTCGGGTTAAAGTTTTTCATACATATTTATTTTATTCATACTGTCGAAATTGCATGATCACATACCACAATGTAACTGGTTTCTGCCTTCTAAAGAAAAAGATTACAGATACGCCAAAAGAGTAATCTGATTACTCTGCCGCCCTGAATATGAATAGAACATGGTCTGATGTTGTTCCTGTGAAAAGGCTGAAGTCCTCCAGTTGTTGCTTAGTGACTATACTTGCATAACCTTTACATACAAATGAGTGCAGAGAGAATAACGGAACGTGCAACATGTTATAAATCCATTTTCTAAAAAGAGAAACATGAAGAAACAGGACAAAAGTTGGTAATTTAACTCAATTAAAGCAATGGCTCCCAACTTATTAACATGATGAAGACTAATATCACCAGGATCTTGCCATAAGACCTCACACTAACTGTATCTTAAGCAAACTATACATTCTCAATGATTTTATCTGATATTATATTTTTGGATTATCGAGATGACTACAAAAATGACTATTGTCTATTTGTTTTAGCTCAGGCAAATAAAAATGACTTGTGTTATTGTCACGATTTAGTTCACCAACATTTGTAGATGCAAATACCATATAAAATTATGTTTCCCGCCCCGGTATTTTTTGTTAACTTTGTTCTATTTTAATATCTCCCAGTTGGTACAAATGTTTTAAGGATTTGAGTATACACTTGAGGCCTTGTTGGGGGCTTTCTGGTGGCTTTGGGGCCCTCAGCGACAGCCTAGTCTGCTTGTGTATAAGACCAGCCCTGGATAATTCACTTTTCTACTTGATTGAAGGGATAGTGTGCAGAGACATACAGCTCATAGAGATAGATTTGTTCTGCTCCAAATAATAACTAGATAGGTAGTTTGCAGACCCTGGTAACAGAGAAAAAAATATAATTATACAACCATTACATGCACTGCCATTATAATACAAAGCTTTGGGGTAAAATCCACATTTTAAACATTGCGCCTCCTCCTCGGTTTGAGCCAATTAGTCACTTGCGCCTCGTCGCTGTGTCGCACCTTCAGGGAGTATTGTGCGCCACTGTGAACTTATTAATAATAAATGAGGAAGCTGTTCAGGGTGGGGGTGAGGAGTGAGGGTGAGGGAGGGGGGTGCTGCTGATCATGCACTGAATCAAGCGGAAGTGGCCTCTGATCAATATTTTAGAAGGTGCAAAATAAAAGAAACAAAGTCATCTGTAATCAACTTTAACTGCCTCTGTTCTGTGCGGCTTATGCGTGAGTGGATGTGAGTTTCGGCGTCGGCCTTCTCTCGTTAATTGAATGTTGATGAAAGAATTAAAATCTGCGTTTGTTTCCAGAGATGAGACGGAGAGATCGTTCGGGCTCCTGCTCCTTCAGCACAACGTATATTTCTACTGCCGCGGACACTATATGGATGCGCTGCTGTGGCTCGTCCGCTGACAAAGACAATATTAGCTTCAATATTCGAGCTCTGGGAGGGGGGAAACGTTTGGGGAAGCATTTGCACGTAGCACGATGAATGTGTATATTCTGCTTACTGCTTACTGTAGCTTCGGTTAGGGACGAGGCCGCCACTAAAAAAAACATCTTGTACCCGCGACCTCGCTCCCATCTCTGTGTGAAAGGCGCTATATACATAAAAATTACTTACTTGCCTACATCTACTTTATAATTACACAATAACAATACTATAACTATTAAGTAAAACAGCGTGTCCAATGGGGGAAAGAAAGTACAAAAATTAAAAAAATACACTGTTTAATATACTATCAAGGCTCAGGAAGGCAGAATTTCGGATTTATGCAGAAAAAAATCGGGAACAGTCTTCCTGAAAATGTGAGACAGGCTTCTACTGCGACAGTGCCCAAATCCACTGTAAACACAGTTCTGCTAGCTGCACATACAACAGAAGGATTGTTGTATATTCTATGTATATTTATGATTTATCTGTGCATGTTTTGAACGCCTTGTGTATGAGCTGTGCTATACAGATAAACTCGCCGTGCCTTATCTTGATGTTACTGTTCAGATTGTATTAATTCTGCTGCTACAGTATATATATATATATATATATATATATTTTTTTTTTTTTTTTTTTTTATTTTTTATTGTGCATGAGCCTGCGAGCTGCCATGGGCCCGAACGATGCACAAGGGAAGCATGAATTAAGCAGTGGAGGAAAATGAATGAAAAGTAACATTGAATATGTACTTTATCTTGCAGAGAATATATATTTTTTACTTTTATTTGCAGATGAAAAGAGCAGATGGGAAGCACATAACCCTTCCTGTGCTTCCCACTCGGCCATCGGTGGCACAGCAAGAAGGTTGTGGGTTTGATTTCCTCAAGACTGCTCCGGTTTACCCTATCACCAAAAACATGCGCGACAATATTTTCCTCCAGACCAATCAGAGCACATTTCTATATCGCAGGTGTGTCCAAAACATGGATGGAAAGACTGTTTTCACTGGATTCAGGCTGTTCTGAGCTTTATCAATTAGCTATGACGGAGCTGAAGTTGGCTGAATGACGAATGGCAATCACACCAGCTACATTAGTGCCATTAACGTACACAATCCAAAACAAATGCGTTATATACAGAATGAAATCAAGGGCTGAGTTCCGGAGCTTTGCAATGAGGGGATAAGCATGCCTATAACGGTAGAGCTGAAGTTGGCTGGATGACAGTGTGAACAAAGGGCAGCTTATCCTTAACCCTACAGCATTTATAAAGTTCCAAGACAGGCTTAAGTATAGGTTCAATAACGACTGTGTAAGTTCACCGCAGACATACAATGGGAAAAGTAGAGATTATGGGATGACTCAGAAGACAATGGTACAAAACATTCTTGTAATACAGCTGGATAATTCAGATCAAACAGGCAGAATCTGGCAGGACACGTGTGGAGAGACAAGGAGGTGTGAGAGCAGACGGGCAGAGGAGGGAGTAACAGGTGACTCACACAAAGGGCCGGAATAGAAAAGACATTTGGAAATCTATAACACGGCGAAACAAGGGGGACACTTCCTCTCTCTCCTCCCCTTTGGCCCCTAATTGATTGCTAAAATAACTGATGCGCAACCGGGCAAAACCACAAGATAAGTCTGCCAAGGCGAGTCCTCTCTCTCTCTCTCTTTCCCTTTCGCCAACCAAGGCCAATTTGGGCAAAGAACTATACAAGAGTGCAGTCAGCGCTTTGAGATATGTCCTCATTCGTTAAAAAAAAAAACGCATTTTCTTATAGGAGTAAAACTGACTAGACTGAATGCGAGGGAGAAAAGAAAAAGTCTACGGCAGCTAAAGCACCGCAAGATAAAGTTCTGAAATGTGTATTTAAATGAGGTAAAGTTATAAATATGTGTAGCGATGCCAGGGCTGGTTTGGAACGTGCCTCAGATGATTTGGCAAAAAAGACTTTTGGCAAACGTTAAACCGTTAAAGGAACAGCAAGAGATTTGTGGTTTGAAAAAGAACAGTGAAAAAATAAAAAAGTGCTTGTAAGTATTGTAATATTTTCTTTTTCCGATCGGATGCCTGGGAAACAGTAGTGTTGTCAGATGTATGTGTGTGATAAAAAGGAAAGAGTGGTATTTTAAATGTTATTTTTTTTATCCCAATTTTTTTTATTTAAGACTGGCAAACTTGTATATTTTAATGTGTTGCTTTTATCTGCGCAGCACTTTGGAAACATGTTTAATAAAAAATATATCTTCAATATAAATGAAGTGGATTATATTGGATTGACGTTAAGGATCTTTAAGGATTTGGAACTGCAAAATGTATTTATTCTGTTTTCCAAAATTATGTCCTTAGATATGAGTTAAATGCATTGAATAATTCTGTGGGATCTAAAAATGAGACAGACCGTAATTGAAGCTTGACTGTGGTTTTGTTAAATTTTGTAGATTCATAGGTACTCCAGCTTTACTATCCACTGTCTTTAATCCGTGGATGTGTCTGAGTTTCCAGAGACAGAGCAAAGCGATCGCAGCCTACTGTAAAACACACGCAGTGCTCGGGTCTCGGTGGATGAGAGGCGACCGGGCAAATCTCCCTCTGGAGTCAGGCGCCCAGAGCATGACTCAGCAAACCCACTGTGCTGATTGGATATTCACGGTGTGTTCAGTGACTTCAGGACCCGCGATGTGATTTATCTCATTTTATAACTCAGACATGACCACAGATTTACAGGACAATTCGATATAAAATCATACATGTGTTCAAAAAGGTCATCACTTTGGCTTCAGAGTCAGATCCGTGTCAAGGAAAGCTTAGAGTCAACACAAAACAAGAACGGTTTGTCTTTTAGCTGACACTGCATAAAACTGGTATTTTTTCAAGTCATAGTCAAAAATAACAAATATTCTTCCAACAATATGATTTTAGACTTAGCGACTGAAATGAAGAATTACATGTGAGCATAAATGAAGGGAACTCCATTTCAATTTGGAGAGACGTGAAACAAGAAGCTTTTGAGTATTTTATTGGGAGGAGGTTTGGCGCCCTAGGCCCCGGTGCGGCCTTCAGAGCGGAGGACCTCCTGCGATGGAGCGTGCCAATCCCCCGGGACCTAGGCACT